GCTTTCGAACTGCTAGGTTGGCAGGAGCTGGGACCGAGCAACGGGAGCTCACCCCGTAGCGGGGATTCGAACCGCCGACCTTCTGATTGGCAAGTCCTAGGCTCTGTGGTTTAACCCACAGCGCCACCCGCGTATGTAGGGTCTTGCAATATTCTGCCCCCTATTATTATTATTATTATTATTATTATTATGCTTTAACAGAGTTCTTTGGAGATGAAGGTTTCTCAAAATGTGCTTTGTTTGACAATTTGACTGGGGAGATAAATAGGCGAAGAAGTCCCCTTTCAAACTTCTCTCTCTTTCTGGGGCCTCCACTGTGCACTCTGGGGCTCCTCTCAGCTTGCGCTGCTGCTTAAATATGTGAGGAGAAAGGAACTCAGCTTTGGAGTTCATTCGATTGTGTGCCTCTAGACGTGCAGTGTTTGTAGCTACAAGCTCTGTTTGTTCACTGGGACCTTTGCCAGGAGTTAGACCGCCAAGCGGATTTATTTCCCCCTGCCTCCTTTTGGCTCTGGGAGTTTTTGTTCTCTCTCTTTCTCTGTATTGTTTGTTTTTCCCCCTTTTTGTGACGCCTAATCAGCCTGTGCCTAGAACCTCCGAGGCAGGATTCCGACAGCGATGGAGGAGTGTACAAAAAAGGAAAGGAAGATCTCCCTTATCTCGGACTGCTTGTTCCTTTCTGAAGGTCTCGGAGCACTGGCTGTCCTAGATTAGCCGCACTTGACAAAATTCCCACAGCGAGGCTGAGGGCAAAGGCTGGTCACAGCCCATGCCTCTCGGGTGAGGTTGCCTGTTCACAGCTCAGAGCTTGCAAGATTTTACTCTGGCCAAAGCTTGTGGCCCATCAAACCCACAAGCTACCGATTGTGGTTGCCAGCCCTTCCACTTTAGGTAAAAAGGTAACCTCTGGATGGTTATGTTATAAGAAAAATACCTCTAGTTCCCTTGTGAGGTATCCAGGGCTCCTATAGAGTCCCTCAGGAGATCTCTGTCGGTCGGAGAGAAAGCAAAGGCCAACCAGAGTATATTGAAAGCAAAGCGGCTAGTAAGATTGATTTTTATTAAAGGAAATAAACTGTTGCAAAAGGGTCCCCGCTCATGTGATAGGAATTTTGAGGTCTTAAAGGTAAAGGGACCCCTGACCATTAGGTCCAGTCGCAGATGACTCTGGGGTTGCGGTGCTCATCTTGCTTTATTGGCCGAGGGAGCCGGCGTACAGCTTCCGGATCATGTGGCCAGCATGACTAAGCCGCTTCTGACGAAACAGAGCAGCGCACAGAAACACAGTTTACCTTCCTGCTGGAGCGGTACCTATTTATCTACTTGCACTTTGACATGCTTTCGAACTGCTAGGTTGGCAGGAGCAGGGACCGAGCAACGGGAGCTCACCCCGTCGCGGGGATTCGAACCGCCGACCTTCTGATCAGCAAGTCCTAGGCTCTATGGCTTAACCTACAGTGCCACCCGCGTCCCATTTTGAGGTCTTAGATATATGTTAAATGTTCATAAGTGTACCAACCAAGGACGTACATAGATCAGCACAGGAAGACCGAACTGAAACCATTTTGATTCTCAAACTGACCAAATGTTTTCTCTGTAAGGTCAAAGGAAAATGGAAAAGCCTCCCCATTGTCTTTTCCTTCACAAATCCTGTCTTAAAGGCACATTTAAGATATGAATAGGGTGTGAGCCTGTGACCTGGCTCAGGAACTAAGTATTTATCATTACAAAAGACTGACCAGGCTCCCCAGGCAATCCAATCAAGTGACCATTAAACAGATAACCTAGCAGACAGGAGGTAAACAAAGCACTCAGATTTCTGCTGTAGACCGCCCTTTCTGTGATGTAGGTATGATGTATTGAGCTACACCCCTTCTGTGATGTATATATGATGTTTCTGGGGGTGGTCTTGGGCTCCAGGGAGGGAATTTAAAATGTCTGTATAAGGGCAGGCACACTTTTGTTCTGGGTTCTTCCTCCCTCCTGCGTGTGAGGGGAGCACCCTGTTGCAACAGATCAATAAAGATCAGGCTTACTAGCTGCTTTGCTTCTCAATATACTCTGGTTGGCCTCTGTTATTTTCTCCTACCAATAGGGAACCTACGTAAGGACTCTATATGGGCTCTTGGATACCCCATAAGGGGGAAAGGGCAGATTTATTTGTTCACAACACTCACCACACGCAGCAGGGAGGAGAACACCTAGCAATGGTGCACAAGCCCCTCTAAAGACTTTTGAAATTGCCCATCCTGTAGCCCAGGGACCCCCCCGCCACCATATATCACAGAAGGAGAGGCCTCCAGCAGAATCTCCTGTCTGCCTGATAATGCCTTACTTGATTGCATTTTCTGGGTAGCCTGGACATTCCTTTGAGATGGTAAATACTTTAGTTCCTGAATCTCTTACGCATATTGATAGTTTGCTCAGCTTAACAGATACAGTGGTACCTTGGGTTACATGTGCTTCAGGTTACAAACTCCGCTAACCTAGAAATAGTACCTCGGCAAAAATGTTATGAAATTATACATGTTTGTATGTCTTTTTATTTGTTTGTATTGTTTAAAATATTTTGTAAAACTAATAAAAAAAATTTCCAAAAAAAAAATAAATAGAAATAGTACCTCGGGTTAAGAACTTTGCTTCAGGATGAGAACAGAAATCGTACTCCGGCAGCGCGGCGGCTGCAGGAGACCCCATTAGCTAAAGTGGTGCTTTAGGTTAAGAACAGTTTCAGGTTAAGAACGGACCTCTGGAACGAATTAAGTACTTAACCCGAGGTACCACTGTACTTGCCATGCTGTCTTTGAAAAGGGAGAAAAGCTCTGTCCCAGCTCCTGCCACCCTAGCAGTCAGTGCATCTACGGTCAGTGTATCTACGGTCAGTGCAAGTAGATAAATAGGTACCATTGCAGCGGTAAATGGTGTTTCCGTCATGGTGTTCCATTGTGCCAGAAGCGGTTCAGTCCTGCTGGCCACATGACCCAGTAAGCCATCTGTGGACAAACACCGGCTCCCTCGGCCTGAAAGCGAGATGAGCGCCACAACCCAAAGTCGCCTTTGACTGGACTTAACCGTCCAGGGGCCCTTTACCTTTTTACCTTTACCTTTTCAAAAAGTGAGGTGTAAGCCCCTCCAGTCCAAAGACAACCAGAAAGCTTTTCCCATTTCCTTCCTCCTTGCAGAGAAATATTTGGGTCAATTTGCGAGAGTCAAAATGGCTTCAGGATTGTTCTGTACTATTTCAGACAGGTGGTTTATATACTTATGTATGTGTTTGCCTTGTACATTTATGAACATTTATTCTATATTTGAGACCTTAAAGGTAAAGGTAAAGGTACCCCTGCCCGTACAGGCCAGTCTTGACAGACTCTAGGGTTGTGCGCCCATCTCACTCTAGAGGCCAGGGGCCAGCGCTGTCCGCAGACACTTCCGGGTCACGTGGCCAGCGTGACATCGCTGCTCTGGCGAGCCAGAGCCGCACACGGAAACGCCGTTTACCTTCCCGCTAGTAAGCGGTCCCTATTTATCTACTTGCACCCGGGCGTGCTTTCGAACTGCTAGGTTGGCAGGCGCTGGGACCGAACAGCGGGAGCGCACCCCGCCATGGGGATTCGAACCGCCGACCTTTCGATCGGCAAGCCCTAGGCGCTGAGGCTTTTACCCACAGCGCCACCCGCGTCCCCTATTTTAGACCTTAGACTTATGATAAAAGTTAAGTCCCATCAAAGGCGACTATGGGGTTGTGGCGCTCATCTCACATTTCGGGCCGAGGGAGCCGGCGTTTATTCGCAGACAGCTTTCCGGGTCGTGTGGCCAGCGTGACTAAACCGCTTCTGGCACAACGGGACACCCTGACAAGTGCCAGAGCACACGGAAACACCATTAGGGTTCCTGAGGCCCTGCTTGGCTTGGCGGGTTGAGCTGGTCTGCTTTAACGCATTTGCTGCAGCTGCAGAACAGGTTGGGCTCAGTTCCTCGCACCCTTGCTCCTTCTCTTTCCCTTTGCCAATCCTTCCCTCCCATTTGCCAAAGCAAACTGTACACTCTTGCATTGCTCAGTGGCAGTTGGAGCAGGGTTTTGGAGAACAGGAGTTTCGCCATCTCATTTTGCAACGCTTGATATTTCGTTCTGTATTCAGTGGTTTTGCAAAACCAATCGCTAGCAGTTAGACTGCATACCACCAAATTGCAATCTAAGCTCTACCCAACCCCAGCCACAAACCTACTGGCATGTACAAACAGCAGCATAATGTATCCACATTAAATACCGTATTTTTCGCTCTATAAGATGCTCCAGACCACAAGACGCACCTAGTTTTTGGAGGAAGAAAACAAGAAAAAAAATATTCTGAATCTCAGAAGCCAGAACAGCAAGAGGGATCGCTGCGCAGTGAAAGCAGCAATCCCTCTTGCTGTTCTGGCTTCTGGGATAGCTGCGCAGCCTGCATTCGCTCCATAAGATGCACACACATTTCCCTTGCTTTTTAGGAGGGAAAAAGTGAGTCTTATAGAGCAAAAAATACGGTACTATACTCATACCGTACTCCAACATGCAGTGCTCTCGCAGAAAAAGTCAAATGTGGGCAGGAGAACTTGAGGAACTTCCCTTTGCTGAGGAAAAGGAAGAGGGACCCAATTTGCTGTTCTCGGGGGTGGAATCTGATAGTCTTTCATAATACAGCTCCCTGTGCGAGGCCAAAATTTGGCACCCCCAAATGGATCTTCTCATTTACGGACCTTCTCCATTTTGCACCCCCTTGGCTTGGCACCCTGTGGGGGGCAAGGAATGCCTGCCCCACGTTGCTATTCTTCTCCAAAATGTCCAGGGATTGGCTGCACTCATCCTCTTTTCCAGCTCCATATCTGTTGAACAGGTGGGTGATCTCCCCAGGTTTTAACCTTACAACTCAGCCGCTTAGGCAATTGGAGGCACAGTAACAGACTTGACAGAAGCGAATCTTTAAAAGCAAAACCTAACCGTAGGGTCTCTTTCCTTCCAGTTTTTCAAGGCGTTCTCCACGAAGCCCGAGGATGGCGTCAGACTTCACCGTACGTATCCTGAAGTCAATTCCTACCTAAGCTAGAAGCAAGAAGTTATGGCTGGAGTTTAGTTTACCAGGCTGGGCCTGCCTAGAGAGGGGTACCCACTCACCATCCTCCAAGCTCATGAATCAGAAGGCTTATGGAGGAATTATAGGGCCCCGGTAATCAAAGCTGGTGGTCACCCTCCATAAAATGTCCCCTAGGTCGTTGATGCGTGTGGCACAATCCCTTTGAACGTTCCCACCCTTTCCCCTCCATGATGTCTCTTAATTTGACCAGGAAATGTCAACATGTCTCTCATCTCACAATCAACAGCTTGAGACCAATTCCACACTTTCATTTTCATTTTTGTCTCAGGATTTATATTCCCCTCCAAATCAAACTTGAGATGGGGCTTCTTTGTCTCCCTGTGTTTCTAGGCAGATTAATGCTTTTCCTGGAAGTCCTTCGCTCTCGTACTGGGCCTGTGTATCTGAAGGCACACACATAATCATAATCAAGAATCCCATAATCAAGAAAAGCAAAGCACCCAATAGGCCCTGGCTGATAGCTGTCAAGTTTTTCCTTTTTTAAAGGGAAATTCCCTTATTCCGAATAGGATTCCTCGCAAGAAAAGGGGAAAGTTGACAGCTATGCCCTGGCTGCTTCCATTTGAACCAAAGGGAGGATCGTGCGCCTGTTCTTCCTCACCTGCGGAAGGTTCATTATGGCAGAGTTTGAGAAATTCTGCATGAGGAAAATCTCCAAAATGATTCATGCTTTCTGGAAAGGGAATCCCCATTCAGGCACGAAGACCGAAGATTGCACCTTGGAGAAAAGATAATATCTGTCTGACACGAACCACGTAGAAGTTAAGTTGGGAGTGGTTCCCTGGCTGGGTTTAGGTCTAAGCGTAGGGTTGTGCGTATGGGTGGCAGCCTGGCACAATGTTTATCTCGTATCCAGGCAGCATTTATTTTGTCTCTAGATTCCCAGGCCCAGGTTGCTTCCTGGCACCGAAAGGTAGAGTAAGGAGAACGCCTGACTTTGAGTAACACCATCCCATAATGATCCCAAGGAATCCGACATGAGAGAAGCTGCCGTTGTGCATTTCCTAGGATATGGCAGGTGCAGGGGGCATGTAGGCTGGTGCAGAGCTCCTGGCCTGAATTGTGACCCTGATATGTTTTCTCCCTTGTACAGATAAAGCAGACGACATTCGGAGCCTCACAGAGTCCATCATCACCTCAATAGAGAGCCATAGAGACCTGTGGCCTCCCGCCTGCCCGCCACTGGAGCCAATTAGGTAATTTGGGTGGAGAATGCATCATAGCATGAAAAACAATTATAGCAATGCAAAGCCTAGCATGGGCTTTCCCAGACTTGTGAGTTCACTCACCCTTTCCAAAGTTTCCATTGACTCCCTCTTAGAGGGGTAAACTGAATACAGTGGTGCCCCGCAAGACGAATGCCTCGCAAGACGGAAAACCCGCTAGACGAAAGGGTTTTCCGTTTTGGAGGTGCTTCGCAAAACGAATTTCCTATGGGCTTGCTTCGCAAGATGAAAATGTCTTGCGAGTTCCTGCAGGGTTTTTTTCCTCCCCCCCCCTTTTCCCAAGCCGCTAAGCCGCTTATCAGCTGATCCGCTAAACCGCTAAGCCGCTTAACAGCTGATCCGCTAAGCCACTTAACAGCTGATCCTCTAAGCTGCTTATCAGCTGATCAGCTGATCCGCTTAACAGCTGTTCCGCTAAGCCGCTTATCAGCTGATCCGCTAAGCCGCTAATGGGCTTGCTTCGCAAGACGAAAAAACCGCAAGACGAAGAGACTCGCGGAACGGATTCCTTTCGTCTTGCGAGGCACCACTGTAAAGTCAAGAAATATCAGTATCCAACTGGCGTTTATTAATCCCTAGAATTAGGAATCATAAAATGTAAAAAGTAAGGGAGGCAGCTCTAATGACACCATGCTTCTTCACCTCTGTGCTGAGATGGCTGCACCTGATGTGCTTTAACAAATGTATAAGGATTGGGCTTGTGACTTTGAGAATACTGTTGTATTGTGGAATCTTAGGATCAAATACAGAGGTTCCTCATTGACAAGGGAGGTCCAGTCTGGACACTCATGCCCCTTAATTCTGAAGCTTATACAGTGGTGCCCCGCAAGACGAACGCCTCGCAAGACGGAAAACCCGCTAAACGAAAGGGTTTTCCGTCGCGGAGGCACTTCGCAAAACGAATTTCCCTATGGGGTTGCTTCGCAAGACGAAAAAATCTTGCGCGTCCCCGCGGGTTTTTTCCGCTCCCCCCCCCTTTTCCTAAGCCGCTAAGCCGCCTATCAGCTGTTCCGCTGATAACCCGCTTAACAGCTGATCGCGAAAAGCCGCTAGACAGCTGTAGCGCTAATCCGCTAAGCTGTCAATGGGCTTGCTTCGCAAGACGAAAAAACCGCTAGACGAAGAGAATCGCGGAACGGATTCTTTTCGTCTTGCGAGGCACCACTGTGGCTTCTATTTTTTTTACATGCTATACCTTGTAAGGGACGTGGGTGGCGCTGTGGGTAAAAGCCTCAGTGCCTAGGGCTTGCCGATCGAAAGGTCGGCGGTTCGAATCCCCGTGGCAGGGTGCGCTCCCGTTGTTCGGTCCCAGCGCCTGCCAACCTAGCAGTTCGAAAGCACCCCCGGGTGCAAGTAGATAAATAGGGACCGCTTACTAGCGGGAAGGTAAACGGCGTTTCCGTGTGCGGCTCTGGCTCGCCAGAGCAGCGATGTCACGCTGGCCACGTGGCCCGGAAGTGTCTCCGGACAGCGCTGGCCCCCGGCCTCTTGAGTGAGATGGGCGCACAACCCCAGAGTCTGTCAAGACTGGCCCGTACGGGCAGGGGTACCTTTACCTTTACCTTTATACCTTGTAAACTTATTTCCACCCCAGGTCCTTTTTACCCCCTTTCAGACCCCCTAGGTTTCCATTCACCCCCTGCACAGTCCCAGCGACCCCAGGGGGTCAATATCAAGCACTTTGGGAAACCTTGTCATGGTATGTTTAACAACAAACAACAAGGTTCTATTATCTGGGATGCTTCTAGAATTTCTATATCTAGCAGGTTTTTATACCTTAAGAAGGAAGAGAATCAATTTCAGACTCAAGACTTTGAGGCCAGGGGATTACCTCTGTTAAAAATCCCCCACAAACCTCCCAAATTTCAACCCATTTATCTTGACTCACCCATGTGGGCGAAGAAGCAGTAATGGGAGCTATGACACAGGTTTCTGTATATTTCGGTTCTTGAACCGTACCTTTACCCACATGAGGACAATAACTGTCTCAGAAGCTGCTGTTTACCAGAGGCACATGTGCCTTTTGAATACAGTTGGAAACGGGAGGTCTAAATTGGTGCATATTCCACATGTGAGCTGAAGTAACAACTAAGAGAAGAGTTGTTGTTGTTCTTTTCCATCCATCCATCCATCCAAAAATCTTTAAGAACCATAAGTGAAACACTTATGGAAACAAAACTGTATATGAATATATATGACCTATTAGAAACATACAGATAATTGCAATAAAAACAGCACCAGCCCTTTCATTAAAAGGAGTTAGTTCTCAAAAGACTTCCTGCTTGGTGTGTGGGACTGAATGTTAGACATAGGTGTTGCTGCAATTTAGGGCTGGCTTCCGGGTAACATTCCACGATGGTGTTTTGAAATGTACACACACAGAGAGAGATATGTAGATATAGATAGCTTACGTACCGTATATACTCAAGTATAAGCCAACTTTTCCAGCACATTTTTTATGCTGAAAAAGCCCCCCTTGGCTTATACTCGATTGAGGGTCCCTGGCGGCGGTGGCAGAGGAGGAACGGGCAGCCTGAATACAGCCCTTTTGGCAGCACCCTAGGTAGGCAGGGGGCTGGGGGGGGAGAGAGAAGCCCCCTCTGCCGTGTGCACATACGTGGACGCGCACACGCACTCCAGCCCACCAGGAGGTTTGTGGTGTGGTGAACCGGCTTGTACTCGAGTCAATAAGTTTCCCCAGTGGTAAAATTAGGTGCCTCGGCTTATATTCGAGTATATACGGTATTTCATTGATGGCTTCAGCTCCCTTCCTGCAATCGGCTCCCAATGAATCTGCCGTCATGCGTCTTATGGAATCATAGTCCAACCCCCTGCAATGCAGGAATCTTTTGCCCAATGTGAGGCTCAAACCCACAGCCCTGAATTAAGAGTCTCGTGGCTGCTCTAGCTTGCAAAAGGTGGGAGGTTTCTCCAGTGCTCCCCCCCCCGGGGGGACGCAGGGGGACGCATACCCATAAACTGGGCCTAAACCCTGATTGAAATGGATCTAGAAAACCCTTTTCCTCCGAGAGTGCCTGGATCTGGCCCGTGACCAAAAATTAAAACAATAAAACCAGATAAAGAAAAGAGCAGGAAATATTTCAAAATGACAAGCGGAATCAAGTGTCCACATATTGAAAGCCACACGGAACAGAAGTGTGCTTCACTGGCCTGGGAAAGTAAACGGCATTTGTTCGTCGATGACTGTGAAGCCTTTGTTTTAGTGTTACCTGCTGCAGACTGTTGAATAGCAGCTGAGCAGTTCAGTTCCAGAATGCAGCAGCTTCCTGTTCCAGTCCTCCTTTGTGCATCTTAAGTGATTAGTCTTCAGTCCAAGTTTATGCGTTAGGTCTGGAGATACAATTATCCACTCAGAGTACATGCGCTGATGTTCCATTCATCTCCTGCAAGGAAATGGGTGATTAGAGGAACTGACCTGTTAACAGAGCGGAGCTATGCATGTTTTAGAAGGCTTATGGCTCACAAACTCAGAGCATGATTCTAACTTGCCCAGGATGCATAGAGCGTTTGGAGAGGCTGGCTTCTAACAATTATTTACCGTTTACCGAAGCATCTAATAACTATCCGGTTTTCAGAAAATGGTCGGTTTCTAGGGAAATTGTTCGCAAGCCATCTTGAGGCTTTCACACATCACGTAAGCAGACCAGAATCGCCACCGCCTGGGGCTAATTTTATTTATTTTAATAAAGTATTCGTCATCTGCCAATCTCATAAAAAGATCAGGGTGCCACAACACAACTCTCTCTCACACACAATAAAACATAAAGCACCATTAACAACGGTACAAAGTAATCATTAAAAGGACTTAAATTATAAAAAGGTCCCCAAGAGATGCCCAAAAATCAGTATCAGGGGTGTCTTTTTGTGGCTTTAGAAATCATAGCACTGACAGGCAATGGAGATGTAACAGGGCATATTCCTGCACTGCAGTGGGTTGGACTAGATGATCCTCAGGTTCCCTTCCAACTCTACGATTCGATGAATCTATGATATTATGGAGGAAGAGAATTCTGCACTATTTGGGGCTGCAGCTCCATATCTCTTGTAATGTATAATTCCACCCTGGCATGCACAGGCAACAGCTGTGAGGCCTTTTGCACCGCTGATCTCCATGCCAAGAAAACAACAACGAACCACCTGCTAGATTTCTCTATTGGGCTTCTCTCTTAAGAACACAAAAATAGGATCGGTAAAGAAAAGGTGTCAACCCAACCATCCCATAATAATCCCTCACAGGGCCATAGGTCCAGTTAGATTAAAGGATAGGTGCTGTTCCATACTGTGCCCAGGGGGGGAAATATGAGCATCTGGGAGGATCTCCTCAAATGGCGGGGAAGCTGAGATGCCTGAATCTGTGTGAAATAATTGTTTGCCCTGTGCTTAAAGCAGAGTTGCTCAGCGTGTGTGTTGCTCTTTGTCTTTTGCAGTGCGGCAGAACTTCACGACTTCTTCCACACAAACAACGTGACTTATTTGGCCCTGATATTTGAAAAGGAGGACTCCTTTTTGGGCAGAGAGGTGACTCTTAATTGACTGGTTGACAATCTATGTATGCATTGCAGCAGCCTAGCTTTAGAGAAGCGGGTCCTTCGCTCTTTTATGCTGCAAATGGCCCCCTGCAGGTCTGCATGGAAATATGGGGTGACTTTTTCTTTTTAAAAAAGTTGTTTATTAATTATATGGAACTACACAAGATGTCCCTTTTATCGCAGAGCCTCTGGGAATGTTTGACAGTCCTTCATGCCTTTTCCTGCGCAGGCATCATTGGAAAGTGGAGCCAACGTAAAACCAACTGGATCTTCTCCCCCTTTTGTAACAAAATGGAAAACTGGAGATAACTGCATTCAGTGGGCATGCTTGGCACAAAATAGTCTAGCTGTCACTGTACCCCCAAAGCCCTGAATATAACTCTCTCCTTTTCTGTTGAGCCTTCCCTTGTGGGTTTTCCACCGTTCCCCCCATTATGTTTTCTGCCTGTGTGTGTGTGTAACAGTGTGTAACAAATGCACAAGGGACACCTTTGTCTGCAACTGACAAACAGGAAAGATACACTTGAGCAGGAAGCCTGAACGATGCTTTCTTCTGGCTAGCATCTTTCACTCCATGCTAGAAGGAAGTGTTTTGCTTGCTTCACAATGCTTCTTGTTTCTTCAAGAGCATTAAGAGTAATCCCCTTTGCAAACTGTATGATTAGCAAAAGCAAACGTGGATTAAGCAAAACAACAGGGTCTTGTGCCTGCTTCAGCATCCTTTTCCTGACAGGCTAAGCTAGAACTTCTGGCTTCAGGTCAGACCCAGGCAAGCCAAGTCACACAGGCCTTTTATACCAAAATAATATAAATATAGACTACGCTGGTGATGCTGTGGTCTAAACCACTGAGCCTTGGGCTTGCCGATCGGAAGGTTGGTGGTTTGAATCCACGCGACGGGGTGAGCTCCTGTTGCTCAGTCCCAGCTCCTGCCAACCTAGCAGTTCGAAAGCAAAGTGCAAAGTGCAAGTAGATAAATAGGTACCACTCTGGCAGGAAGGTAAATGGCATTTCCGTGCACTGCTCTGGTTTCGCCAGAAGCGGCTTAGTCATGCGGGCCACATGACCTGGAAAAACTGTCTGTGGACAAATGCCGGCTCACTCGGCCTATAGAGTGAGATGAGTGCCGCATCCCCAGAGTCGTCTGCGACTGGACTTAACGGTCAGCGGTCCCTTTACCTTTGTAATATAAATACCTGACAAAAGAATCTACCCTTCTACAACACTCCCAAGTGTGGTGGCCAGCACCATGATGTGAGAGCTCTGCCTTTTGACACAAGTCAGCAAGCAGAGAAAAGTACAGAAAATTCACCTGCATGTTCACACAGCACACACAAATATCCACACACACACAGCCTCCACTCACCCTGGCTCACTTTCTGAGTCTGTTGATCTCTCCCTTATTTCTCTCCTTTGCAGCTAACTTCCCTGAAGACTTGGGAGTGGGGGAGGATGAGGAGCAGATAAAGTTAGCAGCCAAGAAAAGAGATCAGTAAGGGATGTTTAGAGAGACCCCCTTTCATTGTGCATGCACACAGTTTTCAGTGCCCGCCAGCTTTCTCTGCCTGCTGGCAGGAGAGCCTTCCGAATTTTGCCCAGGCAGAGCTCTCACAAAGTAGGTGTAACCTGTAGTTGGGCTGTCAACAGAGCAGTTTTCCATGACTAAGGCATTGGGAGTGTTGTACATACAGTACTGGTAAAGCCGGGCAAATCCCTGGAAAAGAGGTGGGAAGCAAGCATATGGCAAGGAGAATTTCTCATTCCGTTTGTGAATGTACTTAACATTGTTGACTCGTTTGAAATTCAGCAAAATTACTCACACTGGGCAACTGGTTTCGGAGGCAACTGGAGTTCCACCCAGTTTGGTTCATGGTTCTGTTGGAGAAGGGCAGGGTAAAAGTGATTCTTCTACAGCTGGCACACCTGTGCCATTCCTGCTTCAGCTATACCAGGCACATCACCTATACCGGTAGATCACTGGGCATCTGTGGTAGATCACTGGTAGATCACTGGCTCCCCCCCCCCAAAGAAGCTCAACAATTTTGGCTCCCCTAAAAAGCTCAACAACTTTGACCGCAACTGGACTTAACTGTCAGGGGTCCCTTTACCTTTACTAATCTTGCAGTAATTGTATTAAGACGACTTCCAGTTAATGATGCCGTTGTAGAGCATGAGTGGAGGCCAGAGTACGGTAGCAGCCCTGCCCTTTTCCAAAGCCCTATTCAAATGGCACATCTCCTGCACATGCACTCGTTGCATGGTGGCGGGAGTGGGCCTGCAGCACCTACTCGCCCCAACACTGGCAAGTTTGGCGGGGCATTTGCAAAATCGAGCCTTCGCGTATAGTCTCTCCACGCGATAGGGAGCCTTGTACGGTGAGGTTTCCCAAATGTTGAACGCGGACGTAGACTTCGCTTTACAGATATCCTGCCAAAGGCTCAAGATCTGGGCTGGTCCAGGTCACAAGTGCCTCCGTTTCCCATTCCACATCTTCTGTGTGTGGAACGCCCTCCCATCAGATGTCAAGGAAATAAACAACTATCTGACTTTTAGAAGACATCTGAAAGCAGCCCTGTTTAGGGAAGTTTTTTAATGTTTGATGTTTTATCGCTTTATTATTATTATTAATATTACGTTGGGTGCTGCCCAGAATGGCTGGGGAAACCCAGCCAGATGGGCAGGGTATAAATAAATTAGTAGTAGTAGTAGTACTATTTGTATGGGTGGGGAGAGAGAGAGGGTGCCATACAGCCAGGGCTTTGATAAAATGTCAACAGCAGTGAAGAGTCCAGCAACACTTCTGGAAGAAACAGATTTTTGAGATGGAGGGTTTAGAGGCAGAGGAGAAAAATAGATTGTTGCGTCCCTCTATTAAAGTCCAACTCTATTCACAACACTAACTAAATGTGGTATCTGGTTTTAGGTCACACTGGACATGCTCCAGTTTGAGAACATTGCAGTGAGGCGAGTCTTAAAGAGCAACGAAGAGCTCGCGAGGAGCTTCAACATTACCACCTTCCCTTCTGGCGTCCTCCTTGTCAAGAACGGCTCGTGCAGCAGCATCCCTGTGTGAGTTGCCACTCTTACTGTACCTCCTTATCTAGCAATATTCTTTAGCATGCGTAAACTCTCTTACGATCCCTATTCATTTTCTTTAAGGCTCCAAATATGACAACAACCTAGTTCACCATGCAGTCGCGGATCTTTGGGGGGGGGGGAGTCCAAAGAAATAAGTACTTATTTGTACCAGTTGTACAACCTGGGAACGCTCTGCATTGTTGTTGTTGTTTAGTCGTTTAGTCGTGTCCGACTCTTCGTGACCCCATGGACCAGAGCAAGCCAGGCACCTCTGTCCTCCACTACTTCCCGCAGTTTGGTCAAACTCATGCTGGTAACCTCGAAAACACTATCCAACCATCTCGTCCTCTGTCGCCCCCTTCTCCTTGTGCTCTCCATCTTTCCCAGCATCAGTGTCTTCTCCAGGGAGTCTTCTCTTCTCATGAGGTGGCCAAAGTACTGGAGCCTCAGCTTCAGGACCTGTCCTTCCAGTGAGCACTCAGGGCTGACTTCCTTAAGAATGGATGCGTTTGATCTTCTTGCAGTCCATGGGACTCTCAAGAGTCTCCTCCAGCACCAGAATTCAAAAGCATCAATTCTTCGGCGGTCAGCCTTCTTTATGGAAGCTCTCACTTCCATACATCACTACTGGGAAAACCATGGCTTTAACTATACGGACCTGCATTAACTATACGCTCTGCATTAATGGTTTTTAAAAGACTAGTCCAAAGGAGTCTGCTGCTCCAGAAGCCCCATAGCCATGATTTTGGGTTCTGCTTTAGTAGATTGAAAGTTTTCTGTCGGAGGGACTCCGGATTTTTGAACAGTTCTGAATTCAATCATAAGGGTAAGGCCCAGTTCTACCATTGCAATCAATTCATGCGAGACAAATTTGCATAAATGTGACTAACATGTTGTGAGCTGCACTGCTTGTTCGTTGGTGTGTGTTTTGAGGGCGTGCAATGATTGTGGGGGGAGGGCGTGCAAGCACTGGAGATGATAGGAGATACAGTAGGGTTACTGGGCATGTTCTTGTGGTCCAGATGGTTGTGTGTTGCTTGTCCTGGCCTTAAAAAGGTAAAGGGACCCCTGACCGTTAGGTCCAGTTGCGAATGACTCTGGCGTTGGAGCGCTCATCTCGCTTTACTGGCTGAGGAAGCCGACGTTTGTCTGCAGACAGTTTTTCCAAGTCATGTGGCCAACATGACTAAGCCGCTTCTGGCGAACCAGAGCAGCGCACGGAAATGCCGTTTACCTTCCCGCTGGAGCGGTACCTATCTATCTACTTGCACTTTGACGTGCTTTCAAACTGCTAGGTTGGCAGGAACTGGGACCGAGCAACAGGAGCTCACCCCATCAGTGGGATTCGAACCACCAACCTTCTGTTCGGCAAGCCCTAGGCTCAGTGGTTTAGACCACAGCGCCACCCACATCCCCTGTCCTGGCCTTACCCTTCTGCAATCAATGAACATACCAGTTTCTTTGGTCGTGAGCTTCAGCTCTGGCTTTTATGCTTTTATGCTTGGGACTTCACGGCCTAGGACCCTCATACCTACGGGACCACCTCTCCTGGTATGCCCCACGGAGACCCTCAAGGTCCATAAATAGCAACACCCTAGTGGTCCCGGGCCCTAAGGAAGTTAGATTAGCCTCAACCAGAGCCAGGGCCTTTTCAACACTGGCTCCGGCCTGGTGGAACGCTCTGTCTCATGAGACCAGGGCCCTGCAGAATCTGATTTCTTTCCGCAGGGCCTGTAAGACAGAGTTGTTCCGCCTGGCCTTTGGCTTGGAGCCAATTTGATTCTCTCCCCCTCTTTCTTTTTTCTTTTCCTTTCTCCTCCTGCAATGAGGTTACATTTTAATATTTTAATGTTTCAATATTTTAATGTTGTATTTTAATTTTGTTTTTAAGTTGTATTCATTCAACTTATTTTTATTATTGCTTGTTAGCCGCCCTGAGCCCAGCCTTGGCTGGGGAGGGCGGGCTAGAAATAAAAATTATTATTATTATAATAATGTTGGTGTGGGTGGCTGTCCAGGGAATGGATGACCCAGGCTTTCAAGGCATCCCAGTTAACCCCTCTGGGGAGTTTCCACTCAGTTGCTACCTAGTTTGAATTACACTGGAGGAAAACTGTTCCCTGTCAGGGCCGTAGCTGGGGGGGGGGGCAAAATCGGCTAAAATATGTCCATACATTAAAAAATTGATCATTGCCTCATAAGAAAATTTTAAATAGAGGGTGAATTGAATGGGTTTGGGGGTTGGAGGAGAGGCGGAAATAATTTGTCCATGACTAGGGGGCGCAATCTGGACTGTTCTGCAAGATCACCTAGCTACAGCTCTGTTCCCTGTACTCCTAGGTTTTGCTCTGTAACAACGATGGTTAGAAATTTGCCAGAGTTCTCCCTGCCACAGGATTCTTTTTCCTGGTTTTTATAACTTTCTTTGTGGGAGGTCACACTTGGCCAGCCCACAAATGAACAAAAGCTATCCAGATTCCTAGATATCCCCTCTTCCGGTCGATCTCTGTGGTAGGACATTAGTTCTGAAGCTCCTGTGCAGATGGGCAGGTCTCTGGCAACTGCATTGCCGAAGGCTGTTCTTAGCCAGACGCTTGGGCATGTGAGCGCTTGTTGGGAAAAACATGGGCTCTGCATGGCAGACTCTCCACTGGAGGGAGGATCCTGTTGCATCTGAAGCCAGGAACGGGAATATCTCTTTGGGTGTTTCTCAGGCATGGATGTCTCCTAGCGATGAAACCAATGAGCAAGGAGGCCTCTCGCTTTATGGAGGGTGTGGAATGTGCCTTGGAATGTTCCTATGGGAAGCACCAGTAGAGCAGCCATTACGGATAGGCAGTTGGACCAGATAATTGCATGCCTGTCCTTCTCTTGCTGTTTTGTGCCACAACCTCCTACACTGAAAACCTACAGAGTCCTCTGAAGTATTTGTCTGCAAGCTTGAGACCTTAGAAAAGCTGGACTATTTGGGCAGAGGAAGCTGGCAGCACCTCGCAAGGTTTTTCCAGCCCTGCGCTGAGATACCAGTGATGGAACCTAGGACCTTCTGCATGCAAAATACACGCTTTTGTCACTTAGCTATAGTCCCACCTGAACTGGAAGGCTCTGTGATAAGGCAGTATATTGTAATATGCTTGTTGTCCCAGTGGCCTTGGTAGCTGATACCTGTAGCCAAGGAGCTCTCATTTTCTGTTGTGGATTTCTGTCTTTTTCTCCTTAATGAATTGCAGATTATAAGACTCCACCTAGACTGTGAAGAGGAGCCTTTACTTGATTTATTTTTTGAAACGTTGAATATAATCAAGCACGGTATTCCAAGCCTGGCAAGCGACCGGCTCTCGTTTCCTGACCTTCCTCTCACCCAGCTGCTCTGCTCCTCTGCCTGCTTCTCTTGTTGCGGAAAAGTTCATTAGGAGCCACACAATGGCTGGTTCGGAGATGCTGGCGGAGAACAATAGAACCTGGGCTTGGACCCTCTGGTGGATTCTTGCTGCTGAATAGGGCATGAAAATAACAAGCAGATGGTCTCTCCCTCCCTCCTCCCAGCCCCCCAACCTCCGTGCAGTTTGATTGATGTCCACCTGGCAGCGAAGGCATGAGTGCGGCAGGCAAAGGGGCACATGGGCACTGTGTCTTCCTCAGGAATGGGGCTCGGAGAGGAGACGGTTCTGCTCGCCCCCTTGCCAAAGAGGGGGGAGCCTCTTCCACGCTTGTTGTAGCTGGCTTCCTAGCCGGTGCACATGGGATTTGCAAGAACGAATCAGGGAGGCGGTGAGCCATGCCGCAGGAGGCTGCCTTTGTTCTTCCATGCCAGCTTCACCCAACAGGAGAGCCATTGTTCTCCTTGCTGGTAGAGGAGAAAATTGTTTGCCTGATGTTGACGTCTCCTGACCATCTGTTTGCAGGGAGGCACGCGGCTGAGAAAGCAGAGCGGCTGCTGTTGCCTTCTGGGCTTTGTTGCCACTGCCATCGCCTTCCCCCACACGGGTGGGCAGCTTTCCTTTTTTTATAATAATATTTTTTATTAAATTTTCCGAATATTTTTTAAACATGACACCCATCTTATATATAATACATAAAAACCGATTGACCATCTCGGCCTGTGACTTCCCTCTTCCTCGGCTCATGGTTTTCTTCTTTATACTCTAATATTGCTTTTTGTTGTTATTATTATTACCCCTATATCCTATTCTTAAATAAATATTAAATTAAAAATCATAATAATAAGTGATAAATTTAACCTTACAAAACTTATTGTAACCCTACCAAAATAATAATAATAATAATAATAATAATAATAATAATAATAATAATAATAATTTATTTGTACCCCGCCCATCTGGCTGGGTTTCCCCAGCCACTCTGGGTGGCTTCCAACAAAGATTAAAAATACATTAAAATGTCACACATTCAAAACTTCCCTGAATAGGGCTGCTTCAGTTGTCTTCTGAATGTCAGGTAGTTGTTTATCTCTTTGACATCTGATGGAAGGGCCTTCCACAGGGCAGGTGCCACTACCAAGAAGACCCTCTGCCTGGTTCCTTGTAGCTTTGCTTCTCGCAATGAGGGAACCGCCAGAAGGCTCTTGGCGCTGGACCTCAGCGTCCGCGCAGAACGATGGGGGTGGAGATGCTTCTTCAGGTATACTGGGCTGAGGCCGTTTAGGGCTTTGAAGGTCAGCACCAACACTTTGAATTGTGCTCGGAAACGTACTGGGAGCCAATGCAGGTCTTTCAAGACGATGTTAATTGTTTACAATTGTCTTTCAAATAGAACAGGTGGGCAGCTTTCCTGCTCATTTCGTTCCACTTTGGGTTGCAGGCAGAGTCGAGTTTTCTCATCAGGATATTCAGAGCTGCCTCCTGCTCTGTGCTGCCTTGCCTGAAAATGGGTGGCTGTGCTGATACGGAGCTTGCTCCCTCTTGCATCCTATGGGGAGGGTGAGATTTATTCAATGGGGAATTCAGTGATAGGGAGAGAGGCAGGGAGACACAGAAAACCTAAGGCAGTGGGAGAGAAGTCTAGGCTACAGCTCCCATCGTCTCTGACCATTGGCCAGGGCTGATGTGAGCTAGAGTCAAACAATTCAGGGCCAGGGGTGTGCGCGCAGCTTTCAGCGCATAACGGCACATGGGAGGCAGCATGGGAGGTGAAAGTCAGGCTTGACATTGCAGAACTATTAAGACTAGCAACAGCACCTTCTCCTTCTCTCTCTCTTTAAAATAATAATTGTTGCTAGTTTTCAGTTACAATCCAATAATAGCCTCATTGTAACCATACCAATTTATAATACAATTATTAAGACCAAATTATATAATTTAGACAAAGTGTGCTAGAATTTATGGTTTGATGATTTTCTTTACTTCTGCGTTCCAAAATCTTATTGATTTCAATTATATTCCAGTCCTCATAGTAATCCCTTATACAACAACTGCAATATTAGTAAGTTCTATTTGTGGTGACACATTAAATTATTTATAAAACTACAAGTGAGGCATTCAGAACTGTATCCTTGTTCTTTCTCTGTGTGGCAATTATTCTGTCCATGGTGTTTATCCTGTCCTTGTGAAATGTTATGTCTGTCTTATCCCTGGTTGTTGCTGTTACCCATCATGCCTTGGGCGGAGCTGATATCCCATTGTCGCTCCAGAAATTTCTCCCTCAGTCTGTCCCAGATTCCTTGGCCCCAAATCTGAAATTTACTTCTGGTAGTGATGTGGAAAAGTTGCAGCTGTGCATGTGTATGGAATAATGATGGAAGGGGGAGCAGCCAGATTGGTTCGCCTTTGCATGCAAGTTAAGCTGACTTTCTGAAACCCGAACGGCTGTGTGATGCCAGGTAGAAGGGTGAAAGTACCCAAGATCTCAGTTGGTATCTCAAGGTCTTCTCTCCTTCCCACACACGGCAATAAGTAACCAAACAATTAAATCCCTGTGTTGCAAACAATTATCAGTAATATCCAAGGCAACATGATGACCAAGTACAACAATGCAAGATCAATATAAACTCTTTATATAACCTATATGGAACAGAAATCTTATAAATCTCTGAAAGTCACAAAATGTGCACTCTTGGTGGATTCTCTTGAAAACATAGAACCAAATAAGTAAAGGTTAAAGGACCCCTGACCATTAGGTCCAGTCGTGGCCGACTCTGGGGTTGCGGCACTCATCTCGCTTTATTGGCCGAGGGAGCCGGCGTACAGCTTCCGGGTCATGTGGCCAGCATGACTAAGCCGCTTCTGACAAACCAGAGCAGCACACGGAAACTCCGTTTACCTTCCCGCAGGAGTGGTACCTATTTATCTACTTGCACTTGACGTGCTTTTGAACTGCTAGGTTGGCAGGAGCAGGGACCGAGCAACAGGAGCTCACCCTGTCACGGGGATTCGAACCACCGACTTTCTGATCAGCAAGTCCTAGGCTCTGTGGTTTAACCCACAGCGCCACCTGTGCCCCTTGTGAGAACCAAATAAACATAAGTCTTATAAGTCTCTGAAAGTCTTTGTAGCCTATGCAAGTCTCTGAAAGAAGCAATAGGTCAGATACTTATCCGGTGAAAACAAGCCGTAAAGCTTTGTTTTATGATGTCCAACACTGCCAAAATGGTCCGCAAACAGACGTCGTGAACAGTGATTCTGGATATACCTACTGTTTCGTGGAATTCTTCTTCAGCACAGCAGAAGGATACAGAAATGCTGTGTGATGCCAGGTAGAAGGGTGAAAGTTCCCATGATCTCAGTTGGTATCTCAAGGTCTGCTCTCTTTCCCATGCAGGCATGTTGATTCAAGACCACTTTACACAGACTTCCTGAAGAAACTGCCTGGGGTTGTTAGAGGAGACACCTTCACGCCCACTGTGCTGCCACCTGTACCACCTACTACACCTGGGCCCTGGAAGGTGATAGACAGGTGAGAACCACCTTTGATGCTTCCAGTTCTTCTGCCCTTTCTTCTCGCTCAGCACTGCTTTGTTTTGCAGCACCTCCATCACTTCGTGGCTTATGAAGGCCCTGTCAGGGTTCGACATCACAAGCTCATTAGCCGAGGGCCCTCCCTTTACAACACTGTAGCTCTGCTGACTACTACAAAACAGATGAAGTAGCCTTGCGGTACCCCTAATTTTTGAAAACTCCCTCCAGAAAATGCTAATTAAGTTGGGAAAGGATGATCAAATTCATTCCTTTAAAATGAAAAGAGAAAAACCAACCCTTCAGGCCAAGAGAAGGGAGCATTTTTCTTCACTCCGGACATGAGGGAATTCTCATGCACAGGCTCAAGTTTATTATTTATTATTTTATTTATTATTTATTATTTTATTTATTATTTCTACCTCACCCATCTGGCTGAGTTTCCCCAGCCACTCTGGACGGCTCCCAGTCGAGTGTTAAAAACAATACAGAATTAAATATTAAGAACTTCCCTAAAGAGGGATGTCTTTTAAAGATAAGATAACTGCTTATTTCCTTCACATCTGAAGGGAGGACATTCCACAGGGCGGGCGCCACTACCGAGAAGGCCCTCTGTCTGGTTCCCTGTAGCCTCACTTCTCGCAATGAGGGAACTGCCAGAAGGCCTTCGGAGCTGGACCTCAGTGTCCAGGCTGAACGATGGGGGTGGAGGCGCTCCTTTAGGTATACTGGACCGAGGTCATTTAGGACTTTAAAGGTCAGCACCAACACTTTGAATTGTGCTCGGAAACGTACTGGGAGCCAATGCAGATAAGCTGCACAGGCAACAAGCAAGTCTTGCGCCATTCTGAAAACCAAGAGATTCATGATGACTTCAGGCGTTTGTGTTCTAGGGCCAACTTTCTTGGGACGCAGGAGGCTTTTGACGAGCCCTGTACCACAAAAATGCATGCCACAACACAGCTGCTAGTTGTTGAGGTGCTTCCTTCTTCGTTTTTGCTACAGCAAATGGATAGGGGCTGCCTCCTCTGCAGAGACTGCGGAAGACTCTCTGGTGTCAGCCATCAGGCTCACTCCAAAGAGGTAATGGGAGATGTTGGGCAAAGGTCCCTGTTTCCCCTTCTCCAAAGTGGATTGTTGGAAATTCTGTGGCTACAGTTGGGCTGAAGGAGGAGCTGGATTTAGCCTTAAGGTTAAATGCTTCCTCTGTAAGTTATGTACCTAGTTTTCAAACAGCTTAGTTCTCAAACGTTTTGGCTCCCGAACGATTGAAGCCCGGAAGTGACTGTTCCGGTTTTTGAATGTTCTTTTGGAAGCCGAACACCCGACGAGGTTTCTGCAGCTTCCGATTGGCTGCAGGAAGTTCCTGCAGCCAATCGGAAGCTGTGCTTTGGTTTTTGAATGCTTTGGAAGTCGAATGACTTCTGGAACGGATTACGTTCAACTTCCAAGGTATGAATGTAGCTGCTATGTTGAGCTCTCTCTCTCTTTCTTTCTTTCTTTCTTTCTTTCTTTCTTTCTTTCTCTCTCTCTCTCTCTCTCTCTCTCTGCCACAGGAGAAAATTGTACATGGCTGACGTGGAATCGGCAGTGCTTTACACGCTAAGGAGAGAGGCAACACGATACGATTTCCTTGAAAAAGAGCAACTCTCCGCAATGAAGCAGTATGTGGCAGTATTGGTCAAGGTGAGCTCTGATGAATACTTTTCCTGCCTCTCCTCCTCCTTCCTCAAGAATCTTAGTTTCTGCATATATACAGACTTGCCTCCCTATTATCTCAGTAGTGACTTTGTTTTTAAATGATATGTGAGAGCTACTAATCTTGTTCTGGGTTTCTTTCTTTTATTCTTAAAAGTCACATGTCAAATGTCCTCCTTTCCCATAAGACAAAAACGATAACTTCTCAGTTATCATTATTATTTTGTAAAGTCTTTCTGAGGGGGATGTGGGCTTTGACCTGCGAGTTTGCATAATATGTCGGTGGTGGTTGAACTTACAGAGGGGAAGCGAGGGAGAGGGGCGACAAAGGTCTTAAGCCAGATTAGGTGAGTCTTACCAATCAAGTCTGTGGTTGAGGGAAATCTGAGACATGGGGTGTGTATGTTCCTGTTGAAAACAAAACCACAACAGAAAAAAGGAAAGTGGGGGTAAGATGAAGCGATTTCCTCATGCCTCTGAGAATTTGTAAGGAATATTTTGAGGGTGGGATTAAGGCAAGGGAAATTCCTTGCCTGTCCGTAAAACTGCTTGCTATACAATATTTTTACAGCTATAACATCTTCAGATTTAGGGTTGGCAAACTTCTAGCACGTTACAGCACAGCAGGGGGAGCAACATATAGATGTGAGTTCTTTAAACTCCCCCTTCAGGAGGCCTGAACAAGATGCACTGCAACATTTTGATGCAGATCCCATTTGTTTGTTTGTAGTCATGATTGTTCCATCTCCGTGGTTCCAAACATGGAGAGAATCGTATCAGCTTTGTTTTATAGCACAGAATCGGGAGTTTCGAAAACTTTAGCTTCCATTTCTTTTTAAAAAGAAAAAGAAAAAAGGCTTCTAGACCTTGTATTCCGTGGGCTTCAACATTTAGAGAGTAGCGTTTCTGCTATACATTTTTTCCCCTGGCCTTCAGTCTTGTCGCTTTACCCAAACTTCTCTACAGTCTCTCAGTTACCCTCTTTGCCACCGAAGCCTCTCCCATTGAGATTATCACACAGGGGGTTGCTCTGGTTGTGACAGGAGTGTCGTAATAACAAAGCCACAGAAGAGTTAACGTGGCTTCTGAAAGGCACTTTTTGGTTTTGTTTCTTTTGCTGCAATAAATCTTTTAAACCCTGGTATCGAAAGGCCATAAAGCGCAAGAGGGTACAGTCTGTGACATTTATTTTCAAAGCTCTTAAGTTATAGCTCAGATACATATCATTTCTGTTTGACCTTTGCATATGAATGTTGCTCTTTTGCTCTGAGTGCTTTCTGGAGTTTCTCTCTCTCTCTTCTCTCTCTTTGTGCCTGTGTTATATGAGTATTTTGACATTCTAGCCAAAGCCGGCCCACCAATGAGGCAGGGTGAAGCACCTGCCTCAGGCGGCAGAAGCGCAAAGTCAAATCATTTATTGATTGATTTAAATAAGGCAATAATAATCTTAAGACTCGAGACAGAGAATCTACCTGCAGAGGGGGATAAGGAGTCCAAACACCAGAGGGGAGAAGGTGAAAAAAAAATGAGTTAAAGCCACACCTTTCGCAATATTTGCGTCCCTGTTTTTTGCCAACCCGAAATGTGATCTCATTCTCTCCTTCCCTCTGGAAGGGAAGGGAAATATCTTCTATCAGATATTTCTGGGATATTGCAGTGGTCTCCCTCTCTGCAATTTGGTGGCAATACATCGCCAGTGTCTGAAGTTGTGAGGTTTCAAAGCTGAAACCATAAATCACGCGAGGCCAAATAGTACGCCGCATGCCTCTTTTCTGGTTACGAAGCAAAACGGGGAGAGGAGGGAAATTGCTGGCAAGGCTTTGGCTGGATGGAGCCTTGTCCCAGAAGTTAAATGACTGTCACCAGCCTAAGTAGTCTCTTACAGAAACTGTGGCGTATATGTTGAGAGAAGGAAGGATGCTGCCAAGGGAATGAAGAAGGGAAAGGATGGGGCTGGTATGCCTTAAGAGACAGGTGGTGTTGGGAGGAAAAATAGGTGCTGAAAAAGAATTTACAACCATCAAGTTATCTGTGTGTCTGTTCTCCCCTGTGCACACCATTGCTACAAATGACTGCCATTCTCTCTAACCCAAATAAAAGCAGGAATGGAAACAAGGGGCCTCTGTAGTGCCCTGCGCATCAGTGTGTCCCTCTCCCCACACCATCTGCAGAGTAAGGGGACAGAGGCTGAAAGATGGAAGGGAGGGCATGGAAGCAAAGTTGCAGGTGTTCACAATATGTGAGGCTGCAGCACACGGTTTGCTGCTTATTGTTATTTACTGAAGTTCTCACCCTGGGCCAGCAGGGGGTACTGTAGATAGTTTTCACTCAGGTCCACCTATGCAAATAAGGGATTGAAAGTGACGTTCAGTGATTGGATAGTTACAGAAAGTTGTTACAGTTGCGTTGTAGTGGAGCTCCATATAAGCAGGCTGGCTGAACCCTTCAGTTCAGTTCTGTTCTGGCCTGTGAATAAACAAGAGCTGTTTGAAGAATCGCTGTGTCGTCTGACATGTTCACCCACAACTTAACACTTGCGTGGAAGGTGCAAGCAGGTGCCTTAGTGTACGACTTCGGCGCTTTTTAGTGGATGGGGGAAGTTGTAAGACTGTTAAGTCTTACCTTAAGCAAGGGATGGCGAACCTGTGGCGCTCTCTCGCGCTCTCCGCATATTGCTAGACTTCCACTCCCCATCACCCGCGACCATTGACTGTTCTGGCTGGTGTCTGAAATCCATCGACAATTGGAAGGTAACAGATTCTGCATTCCCTGTCTTAAATTAAGGGGGTTTTTTGGCCCTAGAATGAAAATATGCCTATGCACCTGCCAGCTGTGGATTTATATCAACTTTGTTCTTCTGACAAGGAAAGCTGGAGTCCACCAAAGTTTATGCAGCAAACAGATCTTGTAGACAATAAAGTGCTACAAGATTCTTGCATAGATTTACACACACACACGAACGCACACTACCTATAAAAGATCATGTACTGATTGTTACCATAAAAACATCATGGCACCAGCCCTTTCCTTAAAAGTAAGTGTCCCTAACAGAAGAAGGAAGTCCCAAAGGGCTGATTGCAGCAACATGCCGATTCTGTAGATTCCCCCTCTTCGTACTTGAAAACAGTCATAAATACAGGAAGAATAAAATTGCAAGAGAATAAAATAGCAACCGTAATAATCATAGGAAGCTTTTAAAAAAAGAATGAATGGCGTAAATTAAATTCCATTGTGGAATACAAGGTTCATACCAAATAGTCACGCATGCCGCCAAGTAAACTCATATTTAGTGGGGACGTGCTAACCATGAAATTGTTGGGTCATATAAATAGCAAAATAAATGAATATTTATTTATTAGTAACAGGCTCTTTAGCTACCCTTCCGGAAAAGCGCAACGGGGATAAAAGCAACAGTTTTGTGCCCGATGCAAGATCTGGCCACAAGATGGAGCAGTCTCACTAGGATCCAACTATTAAACTAATTATTGCTCTTGGATTTTCTCTCATCCAATAGTCGTGTTTCTCTCTCCCACCCGCCCCAATGCTCCAAGCCACTGTACACGCTTGAAAAATCTAAAGCTCCTGAGGACCCATAGCTTTGCATCTATAAGATCCTAGTTTCAGGCCCCAACATCACTGCTTCAAAAGACATTTGGGTAGCAGGGTGGGGGAGAGCTGAGCCTGAGACCCTAAGACAGCTGCTGCCCACATCTGGCCCCACTTCAGTCTGATTCTGCATGGGGCAAACTCCCCCTTCAGGAGGCCTGAACAAGATGCACTGCAACATTTTGATGCAGATCCCATTTGTTTGTTTGTAGTCATGATTGTTCCATCTCCGTGGTTCCAAACATGGAGAGAATCGTATCAGCTTTGTTTTATAGCACAGAATCGGGAGTTTCGAAAACTTTAGCTTCCATTTCTTTTTAAAAAGAAAAAGAAAAAAGGCTTCTAGACCTTGTATTCCGTGGGCTTCAACATTTAGAGAGTAGCGTTTCTGCTATACATTTTTTTCCCTGGCCTTCAGTCTTGTCGCTTTACCCAAACTTCTCTACAGTCTCTGAGTTACCCTCTTTGCCACCGAAGCCTCTCCCATTGAGATTATCTCACAGGGGGTTGCTCTGGTTGTGACAGGAGTGTCGTAATAACAAAGCCACAGAAGAGTTAACGTGGCTTCTGAAAGGCAATTTTTGGTTTTGTTTCTTTTGCTGCAATAAATCTTTTAAACCCTGGTATCGAAAGGCCATAAAGCGCAAGAGGGTACAGTCTGTGACATTTATTTTCAAAGCTCTTAAGTTATAGCTCAGATACATATCGTTTCTGTTTGACCTTTGCATATGAATGTTGCTCTTTTGCTCTGAGTGCTTTCTGGAGTTTCTCTCTCTCTCTCTTTGTGCCTGTGTTATATGAGTATTTTGATATTCTAGCTAGAGCCGGCCCACCGATGAGGCTGGGTGAAGCACCTGCCTCAGGCGGCAGAAGCGCAAAGTCAAATCATTTATTGATTGATTTAAATAAGGCAATAATAATCTTAAGACTCGAGACAGAGAATCTACCTGCAGAGGGGGATAAGGAGTCCAAACACCAGAGGGGAGAAGGTGAAAAAAAAATGAGTTAAAGCCACACCTTTCGCAATATTTGCGTCCCTGTTTTTGCCAACCCGAAATGTGATCTCATTCTCTCCTTCCCTCTGGAAGGGAAGGGAAATATCTTCTATCAGATATTTCTGGGATATTGCAGTGGTCTCCCTCTCTGCAATTTGGTGGCAATACATCGCCAGTGTCTGAAGTTGTGAGGTTTCAAAGCTGAAACCATAAATCACGCGAGGCCAAATAGTACGCCGCATGCCTCTTTTCTGGTTACGAAGCAAAACGGGGAGAGGAGGGAAATTGCTGGCAAGGCTTTGGCTGGATGGAGCCTTGTCCCAGAAGTTAAATGACTGTCACCAGCCTAAGTAGTCTCTTACAGAAACTGTGGCGTATATGTTGAGAGAAGGAAGGATGCTGCCAAGGGAATGAAGAAGGGAAAGGATGGGGCTGGGATGCCTTAAGAGACAGGTGGTGTTGGGAGGAAAAATAGGTGCTGAAAAAGAATTTACAACCATCAAGTTATCTGTGTGTCTGTTCTCCCCTGCGCACACCATTGCTACAAATGACTGCCATTCTCTCTAACCCAAATAAAAGCAGGAATGGAAACAAGGGGCCTCTGTAGTGCCCTGCGCATCAGTGTGTCCCTCTCCCCACACCATCTGCAGAGTAAGGGGACAGAGGCTGAAAGATGGAAGGGAGGGCATGGAAGCAAAGTTGCAGGTGTTCACAATATGTGAGGCTGCAGCACACGGTTTGCTGCTTATTGTTATTTACTGAAGTTCTCACCCTGGGCCAGCAGGGGGTACTGTAGATAGTTTTCACTCAGGTCCACCTATGCAAATAAGGGATTGAAAGTGACGTTCAGTGATTGGATAGTTACAGAAAGTTGTTACAGTTGCGTTGTAGTGGAGCTCCATATAAGCAGGCTGGTTGAACCCTTCAGTTCAGTTCTGTTCTGGCCTGTGAATAAACAAGAGCTGTTTGAAGAATCACTGTGTCGTCTGACATGTTCACCCACAACTTAACACTTATGTTGTGTGGAAGGTGCAAGCAGGTGCCTTAGAGTACGACTTCGGCGCTTTTTAGTGGATGGGGGAAGTTGTAAGACTGTTAAGTCTTACCTTAAACAAGGGACAGCGAACCTGTGGCGCTCTCTCGCGCTCTCCGCATATTGCTAGACTTCCACTCCCCATCACCCGCGACCATTGACTGTTCTGGCTGGTGTCTGAAATCCATCGACAATTGGAAGGTAACAGATTCTGCATTCCCTGTCTTAAATTAAGGGGGTTTTTGGCCCTAGAATGAAAATATGCCTATGCACCTGCCAGCTGTGGATTTATATCAACTTTGTTCTTCTGACAAGGAGAGCTGGAGTCCACCAAAGTTTATGCCACAAACAGATCTTGTAGACAATAAAGTGCTACAAGATTCTTGCATGGATTTACACACACACATGAACGCACACTACCTATAAAAAATCATGTACTGATTGTTACCATAAAAACATCATGGCACCAGCCCTTTCCTTAAAAGTAAGTGGCCGTAACACAGAAGAAGGAAGTCCCAAAGGGCTGATTGCAGCAACATGCCGATTCTGTAGATTCCCCCTCTTCGTACTTGAAAACAGTCATAAATACAGGAAGAATAAAATTGCAAGAGAATAAAATAGCAACCGTAATAATCATAGGAAGCTTTTAAAAAAAGAATGAATGGCGTAAATTAAATTCCATTGTGGAATACAAGGTTCATACCAAATAGTCACGCATGCCGCCAAGTAAACTCATATTTAGTGGGGACGTGGCCAACCATGAAATTGTTGGGTCATATAAATAGCAAAATAAATGAATATTTATTTATTTAGTAACAGGCTCTTTAGCTACCGTTCCGGAATAGCGCAACGGGGATAAAAGCAACAGTTTTGTGCCTGATGCAAGATCTGGCCACAAGATGGAGCAGTCTTACTAGGATCCAACTATTAAACTAATTATTGCTCTTGGATTTTCTCTCATCCAATAGTCGTGTTTCTCTCTCCCACCCGCCCCAATGCACCCAGCCACTGTACACGCTTGAAAAATCTAAAGCTCCTGAGGACCCATAGCTTTGCATCTATAAGATCCTAGTTTCAGGCCCCAACATCACTGCTTCAAAAGACATTTGGGTAGCAGGGTGGGGGAGAGCTGAGCCTGAGACCCTAAGACAGCTGCTGTCCACATCTGGCCCCACTTCAGTCTGATTCCGCATGGGGCAACTTTGCATGAATGGAGGCAGCGCTGTAGCCCCAGGGCAAGTGCTGGTCCTCCTCCTCTTCCTGCAGACTACGTAGGAAAGGTAGAAATCAAGGGGAAAGGAGTATTTCCCTAGGTTGGTTTGGTTTTTAAACCCACTGTAAAGGTAAAGGGACCCCTGACCATTAGGTCCAGTCGCGGACGACTCTGGGGTTGTGGCGCTCATCTCGCTTTACTGGCCAAGGGAGCTGGCGTCCAGCTTCTGGGTCATGTGGCCAGCATGACTAGCAAACCAGAGCAGTGCACGGAAACACCATTTATCTTCCTGCCAGAGCGGTACCTATTTATCTACTTGCACTTTGTGCTTTCGAACTGCTAGGTTGGCAGGAGCAGGGACCGAGCAACGGGAGCTCACCCCGTCGCGGGGATTCGAACCGCCGACCTTCTGATCGGCAAGCCCTAGGCTCTGTGGTTTAACCCACAGCACCACCCGCGTCCCTAAACCTATTGTATTGGATGTTAATGCCCATTTAGAGCAAGTTGCACCCCATGATTGGGTAGCAGAGCAGGTATATCTGCAGAGCTTTCATGAATAGCAACATAGGGTTCTTAATATCCTTTTATTCATCCTCCCAATCAATTTTCCTGGTTCCTTCCCTCCCCCCCCTCTCCTCCCCTGTTCAACCTGTCAATTTCCCACTTGTCTGTCTGCCTTCCTGTGACATCCCCCCCCCCAATCTCTCTCTCTCTCTCCCCCCTCCATCGCCTCTTTGAACGTATGTAGCTCTTTGCCCCCCTCTCCCTGGAGTGCTTGTGGTTTTAAAGTGCTGATGCTAATCGGATTTGAGTTGACTTATTGTCAAAGTAGCTTTGCGTGTTCCTTGGAGACTATTTTGGAGTTACGACCAAGATTTGGATCTTGGCCGTTGGCCCGCAGGGGCCGGCATGTTTGCTTATTGCAGCATCTAAGGATACAGAAATGAACAAAAGGATCTCCCGGTATTAGCAGTGGCTAAGATGAATTCGGACAGGGAATTCCCACATCACCCACAGGAAAGCAGAGGGGGAGCTGGATGCAAACAGAGAGCAGCTCCATGCCTTCTGCCGCACCACATTAGAGGAATTCCAGCTTCCAACAGTTGGACAGGGAGGAAGGACTTGGAGCAGAGCGATCAGCAGGCAGGCAGAAGGGAAAACCCAAGGATAGGTTTGTGGCTTCCATTGGTAAAAGGTAAGGTAAAGGGACCCATGACCATTAGGTCCAGTCGTGGCCGACTCTGGGGTTGCGGCGCTCATCTCGCTTTATTGGCCGAGGGAGCCAGCGTACAGCTTCCAGGTCATGTGGCCAGCAGGACTAAGCCGCTTCTGGCGAACCAGAGCAGCGCACGGAAACGCCGTTTACCTTCCCGCCGGAGCGGTACCTATTTATCTACTTGCACTTTGACGTGCTTTCGAACTGCTAGGTTGGCAGGAGCAGGGACCGAGCAATGGGAGCTCACCCCGTTGTGGGGATTCAAACCGCTGACCTTCTGATCGGCAAGTCCTAGGCTCTGTGGTTTAACCCACAGCGCCACCCGCGTCCTTGCTACTGGTAATAAGTTGCAGCAAATATTGGGACTATTCCCATTGGAAGGGTCTCCCTTCGAGACAGAGGCGTAGGAAGGTCAGGCGGTACCCGGTGCGGGACATTTCTTGTCACCCCCCCCCTCACAACATTGATTATTATTATTTGCCTGCAAAAAATGGTTTTACGTTATTTCCTATTTTCTTACAAAGGAATGTGGATTCTGAGCCCCTGATAACAAGTGGACAGATATTTAAATCTACAGGATGGATTGTGTTTTGGCTTGTGTTATTTTATTTATATTTATTGTATATTTATTTAATAAAATTTATTTTTAAAAACCTGCAAAGTGATTTACCAAAACAAAAAAACAGTGGTACCTCGGGTTACATACACTTCAGGTTACAGACGCTTCAGGTTACAGACTCTGCTAACCCAGAAATAGTGCTTCAGGTTAAGAACTTTGCTTCAGGATGAGAACAGAAATCGTGCTCCGGCAGCAGTGGGAGGCCCCATTAGCTAAAGTGGTGCTTCAGGATAAGAACAGTTTCAGGTTAAGAATGGACCTCTGGAACAAATTAAGTATTTAACCCGAGGTACCACTGTATATGAATAATCTACTACTTCTCTGTACCTGTGCATATAATTCTGTACCTGCGGACAGAGGAAGTTTGATCCAATTTTTTATGCCCATGAAAAAGAAGACGTCACAAGAATTGATTTCTCTCCCCCATACTATTTATTCTGTACTATCACATGATTGGTATTATACACTTTTCGCCCCTGGAGCGCCATGGTCTGTGGCCACTCCCTTCGTTTTCACCTGCCACAAGCAGACATTAGTTGGCTTCTGTTACTTATCCTTCCTGTTTCCTGACTGCATTTTTCTTTACACCAGTACTTTCCTGGACGCCTGCCGATCATGAACTACCTTCGCAACCTGGACTTTTGGCTGAGGCCAAAGACAAACGTTTCCAAGAGCGAGTGGGAGGAAGCGCTGAGGAATAAAAATGAGGTATATTTCACTGGCCCTGCTTCTGCCTCAAAAGTATGGGTGGTCTCTTCCGTTTTCTGCTGAGGTGGTTTTGAAATGTTCTGTCTTCTGGGAACTTTGTCCACGCTAAGCTGTGGGAAAAACCCCGGGTCTGCCATGGAATACCCCGGGGGCAGGCTCTGAGGTACCTTTGGTTCATGCAGGGGGTTAGGTGGGGGGTTGGAGCTCAAATCCATTGAGCCTGACCATTGCCCTGAGTGGCTTGAATGTGGATCTAGAATAGCCCCAACCCCTTTGGACCTGTGGGCACCACCACAAAATGGCTCAATTATTTTTTAAAATAATATTTTATTATTTATACCCCACCCATCTGGCTGGTTTTCCCCAGTCACTCTGGGCGGCCTACAGCACATAAAAAATTATAAAACATCAGAGATAAAAACTTCCATAAACAGGGCTGCCTTCAGATGTCTTCTAAAAGTCAGGAAGTTGCTTATTTACTTGACATCTGATGGGAGGGCGTTCCACAGGGCGGGCGCCACTGCCGAGAAGGCCCTCTGCCTGGTTCCTTGAAACCTCACTTCTCGTAGCGAGGGAACTGCCAGAAGGCCCTCGGAGCTGGACCTCAGTGTCCGGGCTGAACGATGGGGGTGGAGGCGCTCCTTCAGGTATACTGGGCCGAGGCCGTTTAGGGCTTGAACAACACTTTGGATCACTTTGATTTAGACTTAACTGCTGCCAAAGGTAAAAGAGAGAGGGAAATGTTATAGACAAATTGAGTGGGCGTCGAGGGAGGTGCATTGGTGCCCATAGGCGTCACTTTGGGGAACTCATATCTAGAAGCTTCCCAGAGATTTGGCTTTTTAAAAAAATGACCTAGTGGTTCAGCAGTAAAACTGCTGACACATTTGCAAAGCTAAGCAGGGTCCGATATGGTTTCTAATTGGATGGGAGACCACATGTTGAGATTCCTGCATTGCAGGGGGTTGGACCAGATAACCTTCAGGGTCCCTTCTAACTATGAATCTGTGAGCACTAAGCACTCTTTGCCTCATAGATTAGGCATAGGCAAACTCGGCCCTCCAGATGTTTTGGGACTACAACTCCCATGATCCCTAGGACTAACAGGACCAGTGGTCAGGGATGATGGGAATTGTAGTCCCAAAGCATCTGGAGGGCTGAGTTTGCCTATGCCTGTCATAGATTAAAGTATACATACAATGTCAATGTAATTCATGTTTCACTTTTTGGGGCAGCAGGTCTCATGATTAAAATTCATTGGGCAACTTTTTAAAATCTCAATGAATGTATGGCTAGCTTAGATATTCTCTGTGATCCATAGATTGTCCTATTTAAAAGGGGTTACTGAAACATTGGATGTTAAATTAAGTTTGTTAGCCTCAAAATTAAACATAGCCTCCATTTGGATTGTGTGGGGTGGGCAAAGTTGGCTTTATTATTTTTGAAAAGTGTAGAAACTATGGAATATATCATTTATGATGAAGATAAACATTGGTTTATTTCCAGTTGTGTCCGTCTGCTGGTGTGGGGCCTTTTGATCCAGCAGAGGCGCCTGTGAGAGGGGAGAGATGGTTTGTGCCACTGCTGCTGCTACCCCTCATTTGGGGTAGAGTAGAGGGAAGGGAGAATCTGCAGAAATTGTGCTTCTCCCAAAGCCTGTGCTGGATCAAAGAGCCTTTCCATCAGGGGAGGGACAAAATTGGATGCATTATGTAAAACAGTCTCTAAATCCTGCATAGGAGATTAAACAGCTAATATTTCTTTTCCAAGAGCTAGTCAGTGGTCAATAATGGGTTAGAATTAGAAGACAGGGATTGCCTTGTTCTGTATTACCGTATTTTTCGCCCCATAGGACGCACCGCCCTATAGGACGCACCTAGTTTTTTTGGGGGGGAAATAAAGGGGGGATTATTCCCCCCCCCAGGCACGGGGCTGGCGTGGGGGAAGCCCGAGCTTCCCCCGACCCCAGCCCCCAGAACAGCCTGCTATCCGCAAGCCTAGGGAGCCGCGCCGGTCTCCCCAGGCTTGCGGAAAGCTGCGCGAAGCCCAGGCGCGCTCTTCAGCGCGCCCAAGGCTTCAGAATGCAGGCAGCTCTGCGCAACCCTTGGGAGCCCGGCGCGGCTTCGCGCCGAGCTCCCGAGGGTTGCGCAGAGCTTCCTGAAGCCTGGAGAGTGAGAGGGGTCGGTGCGCACCGACCCCTCTCGCTCTCCAGGCTTCAGCGAAAGCCTGTATTCGCCCCATAGGATGCACATACATTTTCCCTTCATTTTTGGAGGGGAAGAAGTGCATCCTATAGGGCGAAAAATACGGTAGTTTTTCATAATCTTAGTATGGGATTTTTTTAATGTGTGTGTATGTACATACATATGCGTTCTCTCTCTCTCTTTCTTCTTCTTCTTCTTCTTCTTCTTCATCATCATCATCATATTCTACCCTCTGGCAAATAAAACACATTAAGCACAGCAGAACGTCAAACGTTAAAAACTTCCCTATACATATTCACACACACACAGAGAGAGATGTCTAATATTCACCTTGTTTTTGCATTCTCCCTTTCAGCTTCCCAATGCCTGGCTGCCGGAGAATCCAACCTGGGTAGCGTGTCAAGGGAGCAAGAGAGGTTTCCCATGTGGCCTCTGGACTCTCTTCCATCTCCTGACGGTGCAGGAAGCACTGCTTAGCCCTCAACCTCACAGTGAGTAATGCAGCCCCTGCTCAGTGGTCTGTAGTAAACCCACAGCCCAAGTCGTGTCCAGGTGAATTCAGGTACCATTTTCTTCCCCCAAAGCACATACAACATGGCAGCTTATCATCTGTATTGCCCTCTAATCCCCAGCCAATGTGTAGGAGTGTATTAGGCTAATGGACTGGGCAGTGGAAGGCCTGGATTCACACCCCGGCTTGGCTATCTTTGGTTTCTCTTGGGTCAGTCCATAGAATCATAGAAATCACAGAGTTGGAAGGGACTCAAGGATCATTTAGTCCAACTCGCTGAACTGCAGGGGTCTCAGCATCCATGACAGATGGCCATCCAACCTCTGCTTAAAAACATCCAAGGAAGGAGAGTCTACCACCTCTTGTGGGAATCTGTTCATCCGCTTCATTGCTGGTTGGCTGGTCTTTTGCCAAAAATTACAGCAATGAAATGAGTATTTAAAATTGAGTGTCGTTGCCCATATTCAGTTATACAGCCATACCTTGGAAGTCGAACGGAATCCGTTCGACTTCCAAATCATGGCTTCTGATTGGCTGCAGGAAGCTCCTGCAGCCAATCAGAAGCTGTGGAAGCCCCGTCGGATGTTCAGGTTCCAAAAGAACATTCACAAAGTGGAACACTTACTTCCGGGTTTGATCGATTGGGAGCCAAAATGTCTGAGTTCCAGGGCATTCAACAACCAAGTTACAGCCGTACAGTCATACCTCAGGTTACAGACACTTCAGGTTGTACGTTTTCGGGTTGCGCTTTGTGCCGAACCTGGAAGTACTGGAACGGGTTACTAAATCGCGCTTTGCGCATGCGCAGAAGTGCTGAATTGAAACCCGCGCGTGCGCAGATACGGCAGTGCGGGTTGCGAACGCTGCAGGTTGTGAACGTGCCTCCTGCACGGATCACGTTCGCAACCCGAGCGTCCACTGTTTATATTTTAAGAACCTTGGAGGAAGAAATAGGTACACATATGGGAAGCATTCAGAGGGGTCACACCAAAGTGAAAATAAATGTAACTAGGGATGCTGGTGCAGAACTATATTTTTGTTACATCTGCGAATTTTAATTAAAAACCCCCACAGGATTTTTGCATTTACGCTCTGAAACCATGATAGTTGACTGAGTAAAGTGCTTCACTCCTGTGCAATTTGTGCTGCCAAATTTCTTTGCTCCCTACTTAATGCCAAACATGTGTAGAGTAGAAGGGAAAGACATTGATTTAAGAATGTAAAAGGCTTGATGGATCAGAACCCGAGCAAAGTCACATTTTCCCAACTTGTGATTCCCAGCAACTAGTATTCAGAGGTAGACTACCCCTGACGCTGGAGGCAAAACATAGCCATCATGGTTAGGAGCCGTTTTTAGCCTTATCCTCCATTACTTTGTTTAAACTGCAATACCTCAAGATATCGAGAGGTCCGGAGGGCGGCAACACGAGAAAGTGCCTTTCCGCAGTGGCTCCCTGTTTGTGGAATGCTCTCCCCAGGGAAGCTCGCCTGGTGCCATCATTATATATCTTGTAAGCACCAGCCAAAAACATTCCTCTCCTCCCTTGAGAGCCAGTTTGGTGTAGTGGTTAAGAGCAGTGGACTCGTAATCTGGGGAACCGGGTTCGCGTCTCCGCTCCTCCACATGCAGCTGCTGGGTGACCTTGGGCCAGTCACACTTCTCTGAAGTCTCTCAGCCCCACTCACCTCACAGAGTGTTTGTTGTGGGGGAGGAAGGGAAAAGGAGAATGTTAGCCGCTTTGAGACTCCTTTGGGTAGTGATAAAGCGGGGTATCAAATCCAAACTCTTCTTCTTCTTCTTCTTCCCAGGCCTCTTGCTGATTAAACAATGAATGGCCTTTTAAACTTTGTGGAGGGCATTGTTTTTGTTTGTTACTGTACTGGAATGTATTTTTGTGTTTTTATATTGTAAACTGCCCTGTGGTCCTTGGATGAAGGGCAGTTAATAATAATAATTGCCATCAGCTCAGAGGCAAGAGATGGAAGGGCAGTTGTGTTATAGGGAGCCTGTGAAAATCTTGCAAAGCAGTTCCTCTTCTGGCGAGGAGGAAAGCCCCACCTCCAGTGGAGAAGAGGTGCAGGGACCAGGGGATGGTAGGGAGAGCCTCAACACTGAGCCTGTGCTGGTCCTGGGGGGGGGGTTACCGTGCAGCATGGTCCGTGTTCGGTCCGAGGCTGAAGCGGGGTCCAAGGCAGGGAGTCGGGCGTGGTCAGGAACTCTGGCAGAAAACAGGACAGGGTGCCAACAAGAACAGGTTACCAACAATGTTGCTCCCGCAACCTGGGACTGGGCTGACTGGCCTTTATCTCCTCTGAGGCATAGGGCGGCCCCGGGCCACAGGTGACTCGCCTCCCCTGGCCTGGAGGCGAGCTCTCTTCCTGCGGGAACTTAGTTCCCTCCGCCTCTCTGCCCTGAGCCTATGCAGCTCAGGAGAGGCTGGAGGGTTACTGGACCCAGAGGCAACCTCACCTTCCCCTGACAGGGCTGGGAGAGGAGCATCTGCAGGCAATGGCTCCTCAATCACCTACGGAGCCAGAGCGGATCCAGCTGGTGTCTGCTCCTGAGGATCCGGCACAGGTGAGGGCCCTTCAGGTTCAAGCCCCTGCCCCGGCTCAGCCGGCCCTGGAGGCAGGGACTCCTGTGCAGGCTGGGATTCCTCTGGTTCAGCCTCTGAATCCGATTCCCAGGCCATCACAGAGTCTGAGCGGCGGGAAGTACGCCCCTGCCAGCGCCCATTCTGCGCAGTAGGCTTCGGCGCAGGGAGGGGCGGAAAAGGTTGGGGGTGACGCGACTTTTATGCTGGGGGAGGTACAAAGACCGGCCACTCCCGGATTCTGCTAGCGACTGAGCCAGACATGAACTTACGACGCTCTTCACTGTAAATAGTTTGCACCAAGAATAAAGCCTGGAAAAGACAGGTCGGAGTCTTGCCTGTTTACTCTTGAGCAACCACACCACCACCTGACAACAACAACAACAACAACAGTCTCATATAAAAACATAATATTTGCAGTAGAGAAGAACCAGGAGAGAAAGCTGTGCCAAATCCTTACCCCCACATTCTGCTTTTCTCCTATAGCACTCCCCCCGAAAAGCCACTTTCCTTTTGGCAAAGGTTTGCCTAGAACCCCAGCGGCCGGGGGCCGGGGGGGGGAGAAGTGGTACACAAGTGAAATATTAAGCATCTCCTTATTTTGCCTTGAAGAAAATGGCCTTTCCTCCCAACACTTTGCAATTGGGCAACTGAGGTTTGCTTGCAAACATTTAGGTTTGACTTGAGTTTACAGCGTGGACAGTATGGAAGTGAAGTACCGCATTTTTCGCTCTATAGGACGCACTTTCCCCCCTCCAAAAATTAAGGGGAAATGTGTGTGTGTCCTATGGAGCGAATGCAGGCTCCTTGGCTTCAGCGATAGCAACGCGAAGCCTCCGAAGCGCAGAGGGAGTTCTCCCTCTGCGTTCCAGAGGCTTCAAGTTGCTTTTGCTGAAGCCTGGAGAGCGAGAGGGGTTGGTGCACACCGACCCCTCTCGCTCTCCAGGCTTCAGGGATAGCCGCCTGAAGTCTTTGGAGTGCAGTGGGACCTCGCGCTGCGCTCCAAAGGTTTCGGGTTCCTTTCGCGAAAGCCGGGAGAGCAAGACTCTCCTGGCTTCAGCAGAGAGGGAGAGCTGCGCAGCGCCCCTTCAGCCAAGCGGGAGGAGAAATGGAAGGGGCTCCATTTCTCCTGCCGCTTCGCTGAAGGGGCACTGAGCAGAGAGGGGGAGATTTTTTTTTCCTTGTTCTCCCCCTCTAAAACAAGTTGCGTCCTATAGAGCGAAAAATACGGTACTTTACTCCACACAGTAATAATTTCAGCAAACAGCACCTGAATTCATCTCGAGAGGGCTCAGGGTGCATGCAGTTGGTCTGGGTGTTTTGCCCACTCGCATTTTAACGGGTCTGCCCCTCCCCTCCCTTCTCTCCCCCCAGCACCACCGGAAGTCCTCCCTACAATGAGAGGGTATGTCCACTACTTCTTTGGCTGCCGGCAGTGCGCAGACCACTTCGAGGCCATGGCAGCAGAGTCCATGAACAAAGTGAGGAACAAAGATGGCAGCATTCTCTGGCTTTGGTCAAGGCACAACAGAGTCAATGCTCGCTTGGCAGGTAAGGGCGTGGGTGCTGGAAGAGTGCTCCCTACTGGCAGACTAACAGAAACCTGCTATTTCATTATTATTCTTTCTTCTTTGGCAATCCCTCATAGCCAAGTAAAATTGTCTTCCATGAACACGGTCTTAACAGTGAGTCCGTAAGTGACTGTGGAGGCCAATTCTGGATCCACACATCCTTCCACAGTGGGGACATAGGTTTCCGGGCGGGAGTTGATCATAATGAGGGTTTGCCAAGCATGCCTTCCTCTTAGCACATTTCTCCCTTGCGTCCTGAGTTCGAGCATCTTCAAAACTCATGACACCTTTGGTAATGGCTGTTCTCCAATTGGAGCCCTCGCAGGCCAGTGTTTCCCAATTGTTGGTGTTTATACTAATTTTTTTAAGATTTGCCTTGAGAGAGTCTTTAAACCTCTTTTGTTGACCACCAGCATTACGCTTTCCATTTTTAAGTTCGGAATAGAGTAGCTGCTTTGAAAGACGATAATCAGGCATTCAAACAACATGACCAGTCCAACAAAGTTGATGTTGAAGAATCATTGCTTTGACACTGGGGGTCTTTGCTTCTTCCAGTACATTGGCATTAGTTTGCCCATCTTCCCAAGTGATATGTAACATTTTTCAGAGACACCGCTGATGGAATCTTTTGAGGAGTTGGAGATGGTGTTTATAAGTGGGCCATGTTTCACAAGCATGGAAACCTGAAAATGAAATCGAAACCTGCTATTTCATTAAGTCACTCCTGAGTGGGCACTGAGAAACAGGAATAAGTGGCTGTGTGAAAATGCTCAGCCTATGAATGTTCAGAATCTCGGTATTCTGGTTGAATTCCATCTTCCACGGCTTACCTCAGAGTAAATGAACTAGTCAACAGTTTGCAGGTTTCCTGCATTACAGAAAAGCTGCTCTGTCTCCACATTTGATGAGTAGCTTTCCTTTACTGCAATACTTCAAGGACTGCCTCTCTCCATATGAACCTACCGGAACACTTCTTTGTGTGCCTCCTCCGTGAGAGGTCCAGAGGGCAGCAACATGAGGATGGGCCTTTTCTGTGGTGGCTCCCCACTTGTGGAATGCTCTCCCCAGAGAGGTTCTGCTGGTGCCTTCATCACACACCTTTAGGCGCCAGTCGAAAACATTCCTTTTTAACTAGGTCTTTGGGTGATTAACATCTAACACTTCTAAATAAGTTGAGGAGAGGCGTTTATTGGGTTGTTTTTGTTCTTATTTTTATTATGTACGCTGTGTTTTTTATATTGTATTTTTATGTCATGAACTGCCCTGAGACCCATGGATAAAGGGTGAAGTGTAAATATAATAAAGTAAATAAAAATAAAATACTTGGGAACCCTGAATGCAGCTGACAGGTTCAGAACTGTTGAAGATGGAAACTTCCCATAAGTAGTTTCTTTTCCAGAAAGAACATTTATGTTCAAAGCTTGCTGATAAATTTGGACTGTAGCTTAGGTTTATAAACCTACCTTGCGCCCACAGATTTGGTTGTTAAGGCCACTGGCCATTTCTGGCCAGATTCTTTGATGCAATTACTGGGCCACGATTCAGAGAGTGGGCAGCTGGAGAAAGTAAAAAGGAGCAATTTTTTTGATACAAGATACCCTCATCTTCTTTGTTGTGTTGCAGTCAGTGACTGATTGAGGGAGAAAGTGTTCCTGAGTTAAGATAAATCGCCCCTCATTGATGGAAGCAAATTAGCCTTTCTTTCTCTGTACTCTGTCGGTCTTTGGAGGAAAAGACACCCAGCAACGTGCCATATTTCTGGTTCTGGTGTCCCTATAACTCCCTGTCTGTTAACCAGCCTGGAGGCCCTTGCAGTTTAGAGAAGACAGCCTTACCACCCACCATTCTGGAGAGAGCTGCCCGCCTGCCTCCTGGAAAAGGAGGCATTGAAGCAATTTAATGCAGCCAAATGCATCACTAATACGGTAGTTAACCCCCTGCCGTACGCACAAGTTCAGTGGTGAGGCAGAAATGCGGGCCAACCGCAGTCCTTGAACAAGCAGCTGGTGGCGATGTACCTACTAAATCTTCTCTGACTTTCCTGCTGCGGGGGGCTTCTAAAGGCCGACACGTGCCCTGGGAGGACCCTCCTCCCGAGACGGCTGCCCACATGTTCAGTTTTTTGCAGACAGATGCAATCCCTTGTTCCCCGGGCCTGTTTCCTTTGACATGGGGAGGAGGAGGGGGTGATTCCTCTTGACAGATGATTGTGGCAGAGAGGAGGGGCACATTGGCCCAGCCAAGGAGTCAAAGGAATTATTCCTTCTTTGTCCCTCTTGGGCTTTTATACCTTCTCCTCCCTCCCCCTGGGACATAATCTCCCTTTTTCTAAAGCATGTACTCCAGCTTCACAATGCCTCTGAGGTTTGTTTATCCGATATGGTTCTCTCCTACCCCCCCCCAAACCTATTTATTTCTTCAAGCCCACCATAGGTAACAGCCACTTGAAACATGCTAAATCCTCTTCGGAATTTCGCCACGGCATTCGGTGGCTGTGTGTTTTGGTTAATCTTCTAAATGCTGGGACTGTCAACAAGTGCAAGGGCGCATCTGTCTGAAAATATAAAGAACACGGGCAAATCGCCATTGTCAACATTCACTACTGCGGTAACACCGTAGTCTCAGAGGTTCCCTTTAGACTGCTGGCGTTCCTTTGTAGTTGTCAACGGATTCCACATTTAGGATACGATTTGTAACACAGCCATTCAATGCATGTAAAACATACCAGCCTCCATACTTTCGCGGTAACCTTCCACTTGGTTCAGAAAATTGGACGCGCCTAGAAGGCAGATTCCCTGCCTCTCCTAGCGTAGTCTTGGCAGTGTTTGTGCTAAGGATTTAAATGCTGACTTGGTATAACGGGATGCACTTCAAAGACAGTCTGCTTATGAACATCAGCTGTGTGGGGACCAATGACAAGGGCTGGCCATCTCCTGCATGTCCTGTGCTTGTGAGTTTTCAGAGGCATTTGACTGATGGGAAACAAAACACTGGACTGAGTGGTCCTTGGTGATCAAGCAAACATGAGGTGCGTCATTCACAACTAAAACTGCAATCCAGTGCATAATTCTCTGGGAGTAAGACCTGATGATCCTGGGACGCGGGTGGCGCTGTGGGTAAAAGCCTCAGCGCCTAGGGCTTGCCGATTGAAAGGTCGGCGGTTCGAATCCCCGCAGCGGGGTGCGCTCCCGTTGCTCGGTCCCAGCGCCTGCCAACCTAGCAGTTCGAAAGCACCTCTGGGTGCAAGTAGATAAATAGGGACCACTTACTGGCGGGAAGGTAAACGGCGTTTCCGTGTGCGGCTCTGGCTCGCCAGAGCAGCGATGTCACACTGGCCATGTGACCCGGAAGTGTCTCCGGACAGCGCTGGCCCCTGGCCTCTTAAGTGAGATGGGCGCACAACCCTAGAGTCTGTCAAGACTGGCCCGTACGGGCAGGGGTACCTTTACCTTTACCTTAAGACCTGATGAACTGAATAGTACCTAATTCTGAGTAGACACGGCTAGGATTGCACTATGCGGTACTGCTCACATGCACATATAGAATTGTGGTCATTGTACTATGATTTGCTGAATAATTTCTGGCATTGTTTCCAATGAACTTTAAAAAACTGAGCTGAACTTTTTTTCTCTTCTGCGGAGCCTAGGCAACTAATGATTTGATTCTAAAAAATTGCTGCCCTCCTTTTGTCCTAAGAGCAAAATTGCTTATAGATACTGCTAGTTTCCAATATAGTTTACTGGTAATATGCACAGATGGTAATATCTAAGACTTCCCTTGTTATCTTCCTTGTTTAGGCACTGCAAGTGAGGACCCCAAATTCCCCAAGATCCAGTGGCCTCCCAAAGATTTGTGTTGGTCATGCCAGATCACCATCAACGGAAGGCTGATGTGGGACGAGAGGGCCATCCTGAGATTCTTCAAGAGTCATTTCTCGCGAGGCAACATTTACCTGGATTTCCTCAAAGTTGAGAAAGGGCTTCGGGTCAGACAGGGCCGAGATGTTGAGGAGAGAGACTACGAAGCTGACAGGAAGCTGGAAGGAGGAGGAGGAGGACAAGAGACTGGCAGAGGAGATGGAGAGGCCTTGGAGGAAGAGGAGAAGAGGACAGAAAGGAAGAAACCTGGTTTCGAACGGTCAGGCTCCCTGGAGGCACGCAAACCCTCTATCGTCAAGATGAACACCAAGACCAAAGAGCTGGAGGAAAACATTGTCGATCTGGATACCTTCAGCGAGCAGCACTTCAGGAGCAAGGCGCTGAAGATGGCAGGCCAGGCCGGCTTCAGGCACAGCCGCAGTAAGAGGGACATTGGACTGGTGCGGATGGAGGACCGGGGCCACCAGTTTCTTGATTATGATGCCGCCTGGCGGCTTCTGCAGCAGAAGGGCTTGGGAGCCCAGCAGATCGTGGGCATCATGGAGGAGTCTGAGAAGGAGGGCGGGGTCATCCAGAGGAGGAGCCAGTGGTTCCACATCCTGGGGGCAGGCTTCTCCAGATTGGACGTCAGCTTGTGCATTGTCTTGTACTTCCTCTCCTCCATGTGCCTGTTGGGCATGTACACTTTCTTCCGCATGCGCATGAGGTACCGCAAGGGCCGCCCAGGCTTCCTCCAAGCCTGAGAGAGACAAGCAGAGCGTCAGCAGATAGCGGGTTGGAGAAGGGGTGTGAGTGTGTTTGTGCGCATGCGCTGCATGCCCACGATGCTTGTTCCTCAGCAACAATTCCTACTCTGGTTTATGGATGCACAAATGCGAAAAAACATGCAGGTATCTCAGTTGTAAAAGCACATACATGTGGTGTGGTGCTTGACCCGACTGAGTGTGCAACAGTGGCAACGGCAGGTAAGGAATCGGCAAGCCTGTGTGTGGAGGGAAGTAAGGGGTGGTATTCAATTGAAGTTTTTCTCAGACTAAACCTGTTGAAATTAGTGGGCTTGACTTAGATCTGTTCATTAATTTAAATGGGTCTGTTCTGAGTAAAACTTAGTTGAACACCACCCACGGCAAGTGCTCATTATGCCACCATTTCTGCAGTGTGTATGTGTGTGGGTGTTTCATTTCTGTATCTATAATGGAGTACGAATTGTTGAGCAACATGTTGACTTTGTTGTTGAAAGGGGTGTTGGTTTCCATTTCAGACCACGTATTGTCAGGGGAGTGAATGGGCTTAAAAAATAAAAACGTCCTCGCCTTGTGGGATCTTTAGCTGAACACATTCTGACCCCACCATGGAAATGTAGCATATTCCTTCTTCAGAATGTCAGAGTGTGTAACAAGGTTCTTGCAGAGCTTTTATGTGGATGGTTTGGGAGCAGCGGCAAAATGACAATTTTCAAATATGAATCGGAGACCTGTATAATTTGTAAAAGCTGGTTTGTTCCAGGTTAAAGTGACATGATGGACTTTGCGGATACGAAGCTGAACTTTTTGTGCCTGGCGTCTTGAGGTATATCTGAGCCCTTTGCTACCTGGAAGAAAACTCAGTCCTGATTTCTTGAATTTACGCGTAGAAGCGCAGTTCCACGATAGCCCGCCGGAGATACTTTGATTTCTTTTTACTAAACTGGATTCCAAAGCTTCTGAGCCATTGTGAAACTACCTTCAATAAAGCCAATGTTTGCATCTGTTTAAAAAAAAAGAGAGAGTAAGAACTCTTATCTCCACCAACAACCTCACCTGTACTTTTGGGTATATATGAGTGGCACAGGCATTTTAAAGGTTTGTCTCCTTCTGCAGTCCTTCCTATGAGCCTGGTGGTAGGGCATAGTCAGGCCTCATCCACGCGGCACCACCTCCTGCTCCCTGGATTAGGAGAGCAAAGGCTAAAAACTGCCCCATACAGTCTTGGACTTCAACAATGTTGTAAAGAAATGGAAGGGTGCTGGGGATGGCAACAGGCACAGATGCTATTCCTAACAGTCATGGCTGAGCAATGGAGAGTGCAGATCCCATGCCAAAGAACCTCACAGCAAGCATTTTCCTGTTTTCCCACCAGCCAACCTGCCTGCTACCTCCCTTTCGCCTTCTTTCCAAGCCAGCTTGCGACGTGCGACCCTCACCTTCACCCCAAAGGGACACCCCTATCTTCCATGCCGTGCTTGTCACTATCAACACCAGGCCTATGATTTCCTTGCCAATAAGAGAGAAAAGATTTGCATGTGCAAATCTGGTCCTGAGATGCAGATTAACTATAGGAGGGCTGTTGACTGAACAGACCATTCCTGACCTCAGGAGCCCGCCAGTTCTGGTCCACGTCATCCCTTTTGGGTAACTAGCATGCCTTTTCCAACTTAGCTGCTTAGGCTCCTGAACACAGAGGAAAACAGCTGGGTTTCAGTTTTAGAGACTGGAAGAGATCCCTGACACGTATATTATTGGTGGTTTAAACACCTAGAGTGGAAACGTAACAAGTGAATGAGCATGGCTTTTCACTAAGAATACGAAGCAAAGTTAATGATAGCAGAACTGTCATCCCTATAATACCTACATTGGCTCCCAGTACATTTCCGAGCACAATTCAAAGTGTTGGTGCTGACCTTTAAAGCCCTAAACGGCCTCGGTCCAGTATACCTGATGGAGCGTCTCCACCCCCATCATTCTGCCCGGACGCTGAGGTCCAGCGCTGAGGGCCTTCTGGCGGTTCCCTCGTTGCGAGAAGCAAAGCTACAGGGAACCAGGCAGAGGGCCTTCTCGGTAGTGGCGCCCGCCCTGTGGAACGCCCTTCCAGTAGATGTCAAAGCGATAAACAACTACCTGACATTCAGAAGACATCTTAAGGCAGCCCTGTTCAGGGAAGTTTTTAACGTGTGATATTTTACTGTATTTTTGGTTTTTATGGAAGCTGCCCAGAGTGGCTGGGGAGGCCCAGCCAGATGGACGGGGTATAAATAAATTATTATTATTATTATTATTATTATTATTATTATTATTATTATTATTATAGAACCTAGTTTTCAAATAGAACCTAGTTTTCAAATTGTTGTTGTTTAGTCGTTTAGTCGTGTCCGACTCTTCGTGACCCCCTGGACCAGAGCACGCCAGGCACTTCTGTCTTCCACTGCCTCCCGCAATTTGGTCAAACTCATGCTGGTAGCTTCGAGAACACTGTCCCACCATCTCGTCCTCTGTCGTCCCCTTCTCCTTGTGCCCTCCATCTTTCCCAACATCAGGGTCTTTTCCAGGGAGTCTTCTCTTCTCATGAGATTTTTCAAATAAGACATGGTAAATATGCAGTTTCTTACTGGTGAGAATAGCAGGTAGCTGTGCTCTGGAGAAGTATGGAAATAGAGCCATGCAGAAATAAAGCACATGCAAATAATTGAAGAAGACTCATTCCTCAAAAGAACCGCGATCCGCCAACCCCGCACCCCAGGTTGCATTACTGCCAACACTCCCTTTCATTGGTGTCTCCCCGCTCTCCTTTGAAAGTTAAGCTGCTCGTTTTTTGCACAAGGGCCTTGCACCATCTCATCCTGCCTTTGAGTAGCCCCATTGGCCTGGGGCAGCATGGTGGCTTCAGTGGCGAGGGGTGAGCTTGGAAGTCCATGATTCACATCTTGCCTCTGTCCAGAACTTACAAGCTGGCGTTAAGCAAACCATCTTCTCAAAACCTCAACCCCACACCTGCAGCTAGGGAATGGTAATACCGGCTTGTTTTACAAAACTAGTCAGGATTACTGAGGTGCTTAACGTATGTGAAATGCTTTGAACACTTGAAACCCACTTACATAGATGTGCATTAATATGATTGGGACTGACCTATTTTTCCAGACGCATCTAAATGCTTTTGTTCACTGCTGGGAGACTTCCTCCTGTTACCTGTTGGTGTTTGGCTTGGCCCCTTCTCCTTTGTTTCTCTCTTGACTCCAGAGAGATGCTGGCAATTTTATTCAGCCACATTATGCTCAGTTATGGCATCTAAATGCTTTGGAAAAAGTTAGGAAAGGAGGGATATTCTGACAAACACCTGAAGGGGGTAAATCATCACTAGCCTTCCCTAGATGTGGGGACTGGACTGATCTAACCCCTTTCTGGATAATACGTTATCTAAAATTATACGAAACCTTTGCAGCAGTGTGTGTGCATCTTCAAGGAACGAATGTGCTTCTTTCAAGCTCCCTTGAAAAAGACTGGCCGTTCCTGCAGTCATTTGCCTTTCCAGAAGATGCTTGAGATAACAACATAGCTGTCAACTTTTCCCTTTTCTTGCGAGGAATCCTATTCGGAATAAGGCAATTTCCCTTTTAAAAAGGGAAACGTCGTCAGCTATGGATAACAATGCAGTAAAAAAAGAAAGAAGGAAAAGGAGAGCTCTGTGGAACAAATAACCCTGTTGAGCGTTAACTGAATCATATTTAGTTAGTAGGCAGAATACGGACATAGGCCTTCTGGGCTGCAGATTGTGCAGAGAAGCTTTTCTGTGTGGTTGGGAAAACAGCTACATTTGTGTGTAAAAGAACAGGGTTGTCTATCCCTGCCTGTGGGCTGCTCTTAGATTCTCTCACGTTTAAGTATGCTTATCGATGACCCTGAAAGCCTTAGATTACCTTTTCTCTCTTCAAAAGGGCCTGGGGTTTTCTTTCAGGTGCTATGAATGTCTCTGTGCGCCCAAGCCCTATTGCTACACCCACCCCCAAAAATGTACCGGTACTTGTATGTCTTTTAACAGCAATTGCAGGGCCTTAAGTATTAAATTGCTTGTGTTTAAATGGCAGCTTTGAGAAGCTGTCAATCCTTCTCAGGTATCACTACTGAGGAGGCTATGGCATTAACAAGTCTTTCGGCCATATTTTCTTAGTAGTAGTTTGCAAAGGAATTGCATGTGGGGTGTTCTGCTAAGAGACTAGAAATGTGTTTCACTGCACAAACTGACATCACAGTTGCTCGGACTCTGTAATAAAGTTGGCAGCATTTAGGGGACAGCTCCATATTCCTGCATTGTGGAGGGCTGAGCTCGATGACCTCCAGGGTCCCTTCCATGATTCTATGCAGTTTGGCATGATTCGATTGTTAAAATATGTACAAAATCTGATGATATAAAGTGTGGGACTTGCTTCCATCTCCCACTAAACTGCTTGAAGGTGGTGGGCTGGTTCTTGTCCTTACGAGTGAAAACGGAGGCATTTTCCCTTCAGATGAGTTTGAAATCTGGTTTAATGCCACTAGAGGCCTGATAAATACTATTTCAGTGGACCTGCCAGTTGGCCATCCTTGAGGGAGGAGCTTCATGCCTTTTCGACCCCATCGCCAAGAAAAATAATTTAGTTAAGAGTAGGCCCATCTCCAAGCTCAATCTTCTTTTGCCATATCTGCCCGAATGACTGGCTAGTAACTCCACAATTCATTTGGGGCAAGTCTGACCCACTTCGTTACCATAATACTACATGAGAGGAACTGGCTGCCCCAAGTGGGACAGGCCTGTTGGAGATGTCCTTTTGACATACTGTTCATATGCTGACCTCTAACAAAAAGTGTCGGGGACACGGGTGGCGCTGTGGGTTAAACCACAGAGCCTAGGACTTGCCGATCAGAAGGCTGGCAGTTCGAATCCCCGCGATGGGGTGAGCTCCCATTACTCAGTCCCAGCTCCTGCCAACCTAGCAGTTCAAAAGCACGCCAAAGTGCAAGTAGATAAATAGGTACCGCTCCGGCGGGAAGGTAAACGGCGTTTCCGTGCGCTGCTCTGGTTCGCCAGAAGCGGCTTAGTCATGCTGGCCACATGACCCGGAAGCTGTACGCCGGCTCCCTCAGCCAATAAAGCGAGATGAGCGTCGCAACCCCAGAGTTGGTCACAACTGGACCTAATGGTCAGGGGTCCCTTTACCTTTACCTTTAACAAAAAGTGGGGGGTGGGGGGGGGAGAAGGAGAAAACCCAGACCAATATATTTGGACCACACTCTGAACTGGGGAAAGAGAGGGTATGAACTGGTGACTTGTAGATAGAGCAGGTCTCCGGTAAGTATGTGTTTTGTGTTTCTCAAAACACTGTTTCTACAGCATTTTGGAAATAGGCAACCCCTCCTTGTTTTACACCAGACTAATAAATGCATATGCTACTTATTCTGTACCCCCCTTCTCTCTGCATTCCCAGACGCCTGAAGCATTTTATAATGGAACAGTGAAGAACCAGCTTCTTTAAATAAATGAAAGGAAAGTTTTCTGTCACTTCTTTAGATCCAAATGAGTTTGGCACATGGCCTTTCCTCCATCTTTCTCCATTTCTGCTGCTGCACAGGAATAATCCAAGGAGCTCCTGATCTCCCGTGCTGTCATTGTGTCTAACTACATTAGAGGAATAAATTTATTTTTGCTAATAAATATTGGTGTGCGTCTGACCAAAGTTTTTGTTCCTAAGTATGCATTGCGGGGGGGGGGGGTGTATTTTCAAATAAATCTGGAATAGCCTTGGAATTTCTCCTAAAGTGAATTTGCTCCTATGAAACCTTTGTAGGAATTTTGGGGAACACAAAGAGGATTCCAGCAAGATTAGTAAAATATATTGGAAGTGTTCTTGCGGGGGGGGGGGCGTGTCACATCCTGTTTTGGATATTTTTGCCTTTCTCGTGGCAGGCTTCA